TGACGGTTGAACGAATTCCAAGGAGCATAAAGCACAGCTTCACTTTGCTGTGTCAGCTTGTGCCATCAGTGAGCTCTTCAATCGGCGGTGAAATTTCTCAGTCAGGCCATTCACTATTATATGGCAAGCTGCTGTTTTGACGTGGTTCACGCCCGGAAGTATAGTAAATTCCTGAAATAGGACGGGTTGGGGCTGTGGATAACGGCCTGTGGTAACAATTGAACGTACTACGTAGTTTTATATCAAAAGGTCAAGTAATACGGATGTGACTGTTTCTACAGATATATCTTTGATATGGCATGCTACCGCTCATCTGGCAAACCTGTCCACCACGGTTAGAAGATGCGTGAAAGAGTTTGATAGTGACAGGGGACCAACTATATCTAAATGAATATGTTGAAATCGTTTGTCAGATAGTGAGAACTTTACCAGGGGAATGATTGTGTGTCTTTGGACTTTTCTGCGTCGACATTGCATACAGCTTCGTTTCCACATTTTTACATTCGAGTTGATTTTAGACAAAACGTGCTGTGAACAGTTGTTGTGGCTCGGTTTCCAGGATGTGAAAGTTCATGTACATGTCGAAATATTGGTCGTCGACAAGCTTTGGGTATAAAAGAACAGTTGCTAGCGGTTGAAACGCCGCTAATGACAAATAAATCTGAGAAAGGGATAGGTACAGGATTGAGAATCAAAGTAATTATTTCTTTGCAGGTTTTCATGTCTGCATAGACTAGTGTATTTTAGCTTTGGTTTTGAAGTTAATATCGTGTTTATGTAACAGTATGTTGATATCCTTCCTAAACAAGGCATAAGCTACGATGTTCACATGTTCTTCAGTGAACTGAATGTATGTTGAGAATTGTGAACTCACAGACTACTCCGTCAACGTCGCAAAGTAAAGGCCCGTCAAACATTTTTGTAAGTCACTCCCTCGGCTCCCATGACTCTTACAATAAAAACTAATCGTGAGATGCCAGTAGTTTATATGCAGGGTCTGACATTACGATCGAAAGTCGTGAACACAATTTCAAAGGAAGCTAAAGCCCTCCGTAGTTTAATTATTTGGAATCTAAAGGAGTCGAAAGGAAACGACCCTGTTAGAAGATATGCACATGACCTGCAGTTAGTGGAGTCTGTGGTAAGGAATGTACTACCAGAAGAGGTTTCAGGGGTACATATTACAGAAGCAATACGACTTGGTAAATGGGTTGGAGGCGATATCTAACCAAGAAGAATCCTGAAGCTGGTTCTCGGGAATTTTGAAGAAAGAGACATATTATTGAAAAACGCACCAAAAATCTCGTGACTCAAATATCCGTATTCGACCAGATTGGCCGCTTGAGGATCGAATCAAGTGGAAGAATGCTCTTACGGAGTTAAGAACTCGCTAGTTAAATGGCGAAACTAACTCTACCATTATGGGTTTTTGGGTAGTCAGGTCTTGGAAACCAATGCTTCCGAGGCCTGTATGGATAGAACGAATTATTCCTAAAACACCTTAAGTGTGTGCTTCACGAACGATCGTAGTCTTCGAAATAAAACGTCCAACCTAAGTCTGACGGTGGATGAATTAAATCCCGATATAATTGTTGTTACAGAACCTTGGTTCACCGTAGATATAGAATGTTCACCCATCATTGCAGGCTATATCTGTATTAGAAGTGATAGAGTTTCAAGTCGCAAAGGGGGAGGTATAATATTATACGTTAGGGATCACTTTCGTATACAATCAATCATATCGGAGGCTCATATCAGTGGCACATGTGAGGTTGCATGTTGTAAGATTGAATCTAGAAATGGGTTAGTGACTATAGGGAAAATATACCGTAGTTCGTTTTGTCTTGCTGACGACTTCATCTCAAGACACATCCGTTCTTGGAGTATGGCAGAATGTTGTCTCATTATTGAGGACTTCAGCACACCGCATATCAACTGGATGGAGCTTACAGCTCCAGGTAGTGGTTTCGATAGCGACTTTTTATCTGCCGTTATTCAGTGTGCACTTGTACAGTGTATCACAACACCGACACAAATTGACTTCAATCATGATCTGTCACTGCTGGAACTCGCCCCCACTAACCACTGTGAGGATGTCTTTGATATTCATCACCTTCCCTCACTAGTGAACAGTGATCACGTTGTAATTCACTTTAAGTTTAGGACACTTGGTAGACAATTCGTATCTGCTCCACCCCGTCCCAATATCTGACGAGCCAATATTCAGGAAATCAGAAACTGTGCTGTCTCGACTGGTTGGTCGGTTGACGCGGATGGACCGATTGAAGACGAATGGAATAATTTTAAGGTTACATTCGAGTCCGTAAAGTCGCGTTTACCCCATGGGCAGCATGTAAGCTATCACATCGCCTTCCATGGATAAATAAGGAAACCCGGAAGCTGTTAATGCGTAGGAAACATTTCTGGGACTTACTCTTGTTGACAAGTCATGCACCATTTAAGCGTGAGTACCAAAATTCTGTAATATCTGTAAGAAAACAATAGCCAAATCCCGTACCCCTTTCGAACGACAGTTAGTATATAATAGCCGTACTTGTTTATTGTAAAAAACACTTGTCCCAATCACGCCGAGGTACCAGCCATTGAATCTGCACAGGTGACTGAGAAAAACTGTCCTTCGTTGAGAACTAACCTCAAACCTTGTAAGATACCGGGCCTTGACGTGTTACATCCACGGCTGCTGTCATCTCTTGCGAACATTATTTTAAAACCGCTTGCAACACTTTTCAACATGTCCCTTTCACTCGCTCAAGTCCCTAGAGATTGGAAAGACGCTATAGTCAGTCCCATATTTAAGGACGGTCAGTGACAGATAGTATCTAATTACCGGCCTGTCAGTCTAACGAGCATTGCCGTTAAGTTACTTGAAAAGATAATTCGGGTGAGGTTGCTAAGCCACATCGATTCACACAATCTGTTAGCTCCTGAGGAACATGGACTTCGTAAAGCGTTCATTCTTGACTAACTTATTACGAGAGAGGACTAGACAGCAGCCTTAGATAAAGGTCTGTCTGTCGATGTGATATTCATAGATTTTAGCAAAACATTTGACAAGGTTTCACACATAGGTCTTATGAACAAGCTCACGAGCTTCGGAATAATAGGTACTGTACATGAGTGGATAAGAAATTTCTTATGTGACCGCAGACAGAGAGTGAGCGTCAACGGAACGCTATCCAATTAGAAGGCGGTCAAAAGTGGTGTACCCCAAGACACCATCTTAGGCCTTCTGTTCTTCCTTCTCTACGTTGATGAGTTATCGCTGTTGCTTAGGTCGTTGACATTATTGTTTGCGGATGATGTAAAAATCTGGAGGACAATAAAAAGTGCGACTGATCATCTGGATCTTCAAGCAGACATAGACGATTTAGTTAGATGGTCTGGAGGTTTGGGCTTAGAAATCAACTCTAGGAAGAGTGTACTAATGCACATCGGTCACGGTAATAGTTACCATTATACTATTGATGGCAAACCTCTTCTATGCGTTCAAGAACATAAAGACTTAGGAGTAATAATAAGTCATGACTTAAAAACATCTACGGATTGCAACGCAGCCGCTGTCAAAGGTTTTCGTGCGTTATGGTCACTTCGCCGAGTGTTCAAGTCTTTTGACGAGGAAACGTTTCGAATTTTATATCCCATATATGTTAGACCATATTTAGAGTACTGTATCCAAGCAGCTAGCCCATGTCCGGTAAGGGATACTAACTCACCTGAGTGTGTCCAGAGTGTGGGAAAAAAATTAGTGAAGGGTCTTTCTAAACACCCTTACGATGAGCGTTTAAAACACTTAACCTTTTCACCTTGTCGTATTGTAGGACATGAGGTGACCTTATGCACTTCAAAGTGTAAAGTAGTCCATATGTGACATGATGCAGACTACAGTTATAACTTAGGAAACTTCTCTCTAGTAGTATTCCAAGTTTAAAAAGATTTTGGAGTCCTGGTGCCCTGCGATTTAAAGTCTTATGCTAACTGTGACAAAAATGTCTTCCGAGCAAACATTGCACTAGTAACATTGAAGCGCATTTTTGGCCAGTTTGACGGAAGAACTTTTCATATAATCTTCAACAGTTTTATCCGTCCCTATTTAGAGTGCGGAAACATAGTATTTCCCCCCTCACTCCAAAAGGATAAGGACACCCTGGAGCGCATCCAACGGCGAGCCAAGAAATCAGTTCGACGACTGAAATTTAAACCTTACGAAGAGCGCCTCCATTCACTTAACCTTTACCCATCAGAGTATAGACGTCTTACAGCTGACCTTCTGATGGCTTACAGTATCCTTAACACTTATGGACATCCTCTCAAACAACTACTTAAGCTTAGTTCCAACACTAACCTAAGTGGTAACACCCAAAAACTGGAGACACAACATAGCAAAAGGGACTGTAGACACAACTTCTACTCCATAAGACTTGTCAAATACTGGAATTAGCTACCGGCCGAGCTAGTCCAAGCGACTTCCCAGGAGTCCTTTAAGAGGCAACTTGATTTCGAGGATGATACAGGTATTCAGTGTTTGACAATGCTTCTACCAGTAACACCTTCTAATATACTTTGTTCCCACCGAGAGAAATCAAAAGACAGAGTCGAGGAGATCGGAAGAGTGTATTTGGCGATAACCAATATATCGGAATTCTCTGATCTAATCTGGCTAGCGATTGCGGTACCACACGTGATCTAGTGCGGATGCATGACCGAGCGCCTTCAGCTAGATGAGTCCACTAAAACATATGGTCAGCATCCAATGTCGAAAACCTACAGAGCTATTAAGTTTGGGGATTTATTTACCGCTACAATCTATTCTTCAGGACTAAGGATAGTATCACACTATGATTTACCAATTTCTTTTTCTTCTTTTATTGTTAACGTACCTAGGTTCCCGCCTGGAGTTTTTGGTGATCCCTTGATACTAGAAACGGAAGCCTGTTAAGCGAAAGCTTCTTCTATTCCGTCCACAACTGTTTGAACCCTTTGAACCATTTGATCAAGGTCACGGATTTGCAAACACAAAAAGTTGTTATGGGTTTCATCGTTCATTATGAGGTTCTAAACTTGATTTTGTATAGAGTTATGTAATAAAAGCGAAGAAACCCATCCAAACATCTTTTGGTGTATAATAATCTCAGATTGAATGCATTCGCTTATCAACTACTGGATTAATGTATTTACGTTTCTGTTTTTATATCTTGGTCCAATATATTACGATCTATCCGGGTCGCTCTGAGGAGATAGGTATGATGTGGTACTTATAAATAATAAATACCTTAAGTTTGTACGCGTGCAGATGTGCGACACCCGTCAAGTTTAACAAGACTTTTGCGTTGCTCTGTTATAGAAGGTGATTTGTTTGTTGTTTTCACGCGAATACCAAGGGATGCAAGTTTGCCCCTTCTGAGGGAAATAACTGGAAGTCTGCTTGTGTATGATGTTGAAGGACCAGATGACCTTTCCAATTTATTACCAAACCTTACTTTGATCAGAGGACAAACTCTGGTGTTTGGCTATGCCGTTGTCATTAAAAGTACATCACTCAAGGTATTTCAACTTTTGTCTTCCACTTCGTTCTGTCAAAACTCAGGAAATCTTACTGTTTTTATGTTACTTCCCTATGGTGTATTCCGTAACTTAAATGGCATAATTATAGGGCTTGCTTTATCGTTCTGGACAGCACCACCAGCACCTACTTCACTTCTGCATTTAGTTCATACAACATAACACCAGTAAGAGCATCCACATAAGCTGAGGATCTCCGTCATCTTAAAACTATTTCAATATTTCTCGTCTATTCCAAAAATCCAATTTTGACGTTTCCTTTTGGAAGGGCAACACTATTTTCTGGTTGATTTAGTACGTACATATAAGCATTTTTAGCCTAGTTTTTTTGTACTCCTGCCCTTGTTAAACATCTCGTGCCTATAGCTTGCCTCATTTCAAGCGTAATATATTCTCTATTTTGGTTGAATGCAGGTGTTTGATACTACCCGTTTACCCGAATCGGATTCTTCCAGCTTGTTCCTATATTTATGGCTTAAGGTTTATCCAGATCGTGTCATGTAAACTACTTCTTAAGTCAGTGTTGTAAAGAAACCTAATTTTGCCTATAGGTCGTGTTATAAATAACATTATTCTTAATTTGTTTTAATGTCTTTTTCTTTTCGATTTCCCTTAAAGAACATCGGTCTTTTTTCCCTTCGAGTGATTCAGCAAGGTGGAATACGTATAGACAATAATCCACAACTGTGCTATGTAAGGACTATTGACTGGGATGTAATCCTTCAGGATCAGAGTGCGGGCGTGTCTTCGGTTAAGATCGTTAAAAATGGATTAATGTGCCCAAATACCTGTTCATCTGATTGTTCTGTGGCATCACAAAGTACTGGACGGCTTTCAGCAATAGGAATCTGGAGCCCCTCATTAAGAGATATTTCTCCCACCGATGGACATTGTTGGTCTGTGAATAAATGTCAATCGAGTAAATAACCATTGTGTTTTTTAAGTATTTATTTTTACAGGCGTTAAGCCTTTGACAAAATTATTTTGATACCTGAATATTGATTTTCGAATATGCTTAAAATGATTCAATTTCGGGGGATATATTAGATATTATCATTTGTGTTCCCTATCACCACTAACATATTTAGGCTGTGTTTGAAAACAACAAACTAACGGCTTCTGTTAAACCGATAGTTCCGCTTATCAATATTTTGTGATGTAGACGATTATTTAATAGCTTTATAATTCATCTCGAAACCATGTCATTGGAATTTGATACACGGTAAATTTGGGTGAAATTAAGTTTAACTTCTAATTAATATTTATCTTTTTTAGAACTTTTGGATTTTCAAATTTTTTTTGATAACAAATGTGGTAGTTGGAACCCTTGTACATTGAAACTAAATTATTATGTGACAGACTAAACTGGCTATCGGTAGAGCTGGTCTAAAATGAATTTTAAAAGTGGATAATAAAGAAAATAACTCGATTGCATCACACATTGTTTACTGGATGATTATAAAATTTCAGTCAAGTGGTTCCATTTAAACTTTTCGTAATCAGAAATCCTATTTCTATACTTATTCATTTCTTTAATTCATCTACTTCCGGTCCATTTGAATGTCATTCTGTCTAAGTTGCTTCACTAGTTGTGCTAATGCAAAGTGCTTTAAATTTGTCTGGTTCATTGTTGTATGGTTTTCTACATTTATTCTAACAAAGTAAAGAGGTTCACTGAGATCCATGACATTAATTTGTTTGTGGAAATCCAGTTGACTTACCTTGTGAACCAATCGGCTGGGTTTGTATGTTATATCAAAGACGTTACTCTAAAGATCGGCTTTTAAAACGGGTCTTGTTGAATGCATCGTAAATTGTGTACTTGTTTTTTCATTTTCTTTAGCTTATACATTGACCGTAAGTGTTCACAATGAGGTCAACTATATATAATAGGGGTATCTGCACGGCCTATATTTTTCCCTGCACACGCTTGAATTATGGTATTGTTGCATATCCGATAATGATTTTCAGCAAACAAACTCTATTTTTTAGTAGATCTGTTCAAACAAATTGTTGTTATTCTGTGTACCGAGTTTTAATTAAAATAATCTATAGAATTGCTAGAAATTCCAGAATGCTTGTTTTGATGATGAAACATTATAAACATGGCGTATAAAATTGTTTTCTACTTTTAAAAATATTGAAAGTTGTCTGACCAGTATCTCACTGAATCACTTATGACCAAATAATACCTTATTTAACATACTCTTAGATAATGAACTTATTGTCAGTGAGTCTCGTACTTAAAAAATTCCAGCAAATATAGGGAACACGAGAACTGGCGATCAATATCATGATGTTCATACTGTAAACTACATAGGAAACTAATCTAAACGAGATAAGTCAGATAGTGTTCATGTCCTGGGTGTATTTATCAAATGGGCTAGGACCTTGTTATTTTGTTAACGAACTTTTGATTGTTAAAGTAAGAGAATCCTGGTTAGCGAAATGACCGATTGATGGACGGTTATGTGAAAACTGTTGATGCATGCTCATACATAAACTAATATCAAGACAATAAATATGCTCAGTAGAATAGGCTTTTGTAATAGGATAATGTATTTTCTCCAAAATGTCGATAAAAATGTCAAGCTAGCTAAAATCGACATTTTCCAAGTCCGATTAATTCATTGCATTTCGTAGCTTACTCGACTAAACACAAGATAATCCGTTTAATTAGTTTAAAATATTAACATGTTTGTAAATTAACAGATGAATGATGAATAAGAACTTTCGTCTAAATTTAATCGAATAGTTTCACTGTATGTGGGCGCCGGGTTGGTATGAGACACTAAAGAGGAAGGATGTAGTTGTAAAATCTCAGCGGAAGAATTTGAAGTAAACGTTGGATTTACTTCGAATTCGCTGAGATTTTACAAATACATCCTTCCTCTTCACTGTCTAACAGATCAATAGTTAATCAAAAAATAGCGAATTGTTTGATGCATAAAACTTTAATCAAGTGAAGATTAACATTGTAATGAAGTGCTTATTAGTAGTTGAAGTGATAGTTTTTAAATATTGTATACTTCTGCACTAAGTAATGTGAGGAATTGATCGAGAGCGTATAAACAAAGGAAAAAGATTTTGAACCGAGCCCACTGAATCGCAGTAACAGTATAAAAGAACGAAAGTATTGGAAATAAGGAAGGTTAATTACTAGCTGGCATACGTAGGTCAGATTTTAGCCTTTTGATAACAATGACAACGCACATCGATATGGCAGCATTATTTTTACAATAGTTGGTTTGGATGGGCTCACCATATCCAACCCATGTTTGTGTTCTGTAGCTGTTTTGGTCCACTAGACATAGTTTTTCCAGAATATTGTGAATCCAAAATAATATAACGAAATAGTACTAAGCTCAATAGGTTTAGAACTTCGACAAGACTATCAAAAACTCAAATTCGAAGTACGCAGCATGAAATTTTATTGTATTATCATCAGTTTAAACCCAACATGAAATATTTAACTGTGCATTGAATGCGTTGGTTATTCGCCACAAATCTCTTCAAGAAGAAGCCAAGGTGCCCACCATTTTGTCTTTCAGATGTACCTGCTTTATACATAAATGTAAATTGATAAATGCACTCGGAAGTGGTGTATGATGGATATTCGTTTAGCTTCGTTTGCATTACTAAACACTGTGTTATCTACATTGGTATGTTTTATAGTATAAAATATAGTCACGAACTCTTCATCGGATGTTTTTATCAAGCATAGTTGCCTAGCTGTTTAGTGAAGGAAGTTTATTAGGCTGTGTTAATAATTTATTGTTGTAAGCAATATAAGTGTAAATGTTGCCTCCAATGTATTACTCAAGTTTCTTGCCCCGATTCTCTGAAAATAAATGTTTCTGTACATTTTAGCCTATTGTGAAATATCGATAACACTCTCGTCCTAGCTGCTACTCTGTTAATCTCATTCGCTTTCTAAATTTTCTATCATTGCTGTTTTTGAGTTGTCATAAATATAAGTCAGTCAGTCACAACGTATTAATATAAATCTAACCCATCGTAAATTCCTAACATTAAGCTTACAGAATGTATTTGCATTCGACTTTAATTCCGTTTATTACTATTGTTGTACCTACTTCATTTTTCTATAGTGGGGTTTTTACCATATATTAGCGATGATATTTTAATAACTTTAAGGCTCCCACTCTTGTTCTCGTCAGAAATCTTTTATCTGGCCTTTACCCCAGTTATTATCCCCATTGTTTAACAATCGAGATTTGTATGTAGTGAAGGTAAATTCCCAACATGCGGATTCATTCCAAAACACCTACTATTGTGACTCCAACATATCTGGATATGTCATCCAAGTTGTTATCATTTCAGTTTCTTCATTACCATCAGTACTCGTTGAAACAATAAATAAATCTTTCATTATGTTAAGTATCTTTAAATAAAAAGAATATTTACATTGTATAGTGAGGTTCTGCTCATCTTGGCTCTCTGGATGGGATCCTGGAGATAGTGCTATCAGAATAAATTCATGTGTAATTAGGTATGAACCAGTATCAAACTAATAGCTTAACAACTTTGTTTTCTTTTCGTATTTTGCCTAATTATTTAGAAATAATCAAAATAACTTCTTGGATGAGTCTTGTTTAAGTAGTTTTCCGTTAATAAATATTTTATGATGTTTTTTGTACCTTTGTGTCTACTTTTCAGAGTTTTGAACTGCTTTGTATGATTCGTATCTTGATGTTCTTGCTTAGATAAGTTTACAGTCGAATAAAATTGACACAACTATACAAGATGTCACTTCCATTCTTAGAAATGCCCAGGCTAGGTCATCGCTTGGAAAGATTTCGGTATTCCTAGTCCTCGATATTTCCTCTTTAAATAGTTTGGTACTCACCGATGGAGTGACACAGGATATTGTGGTTGGAATTTATGTTCCAGTGATCTTATTTTAAATTGATTTCCAGAATTTATCTATTTATCTTATCTCTTTAATATTAAGACTATTCATAGAACTGGCCTAGATGAGACAAAAAATTTCGATTGTTGTCCGATTGTGTTGATATTTTCATGACAATTGCATCGACTGTTTTCTTCATTTTTCATTCAAGAATCATAAGAAAAGCCCTTTGTCCATCAGAAAAGAGCTGATGCGAATGTCCAAAAAAGCCCACGCGGAAGCATGATTTAACTCTGAGCAGCTTCAGAATGAAATACTAAAAGTAAGAAACTTTAAATTATTAGTAAGTTTTCGACAAGACAGATCATCACAAAAGTTACTTAACATCCGTTCAGTTTTATTAGTATATTGATACGACCGCATAAAATCTAGTATTTCTATTCTTTAAGTTGTATCGAATCGTGTCTAAGGGTTTCAAGACGTAAACGACTGTTTTAGTTTACAACTAACCGGTCAGTGATTCACAAATATAAGCTGTAGGAATGAAAACGGTAATGATTTGCAAATAATGTGGTCTTTTCGTTGCAACTGTTGTTTAACTTACGATATTGGAAATGTTCTAACTGTTGAATTATTTACTCTGTATCCGTATAATGAAAATGGTATGTATTTCTGTTTTACTGCTCGATGTGTAACAAATGTAAAATATATGATTTTATTGATCAAGTACTTAACTTGTTATAGTTCTGTATTCTTACTTGTTTTTTAGTATGCCCTTTAAAATGCACACTTCTAAATTTGACTTGTACAATGAAACGTCCTCATAAATGCTGTCATCCAGAATGTCTTGCTGGATGTTACGGTGATGGCCCGAGCATGTGCGTTGCGTGTAAGAATGTTATGCATGAAAATCGATGTGTCTCACAATGTCCAGGAGGAACTTTTAAAGTAGGTTCGCATCCAATTTTAAATCTCATATGGCCTTTTAATTACTGATAGAGGTTCTTTGGTTGATAACCGAGTTCACTTAGTTCCAAATGATTACTAATTAAGTTATTTTACTTGATCTTTTTATTGAGTGGATTAAACTGCTTAAACGTGCTTCATTTTCAAAATAATATATGTGTGTTCAGTGTATATCAAACAAGTTTATAACAAATATAATGGGATAAAGTGTGTCCATTACTTTTTAGTTGCATTAATTCTGTTTTATAGTAATTATTATGTCCTCTTTATCAGCTGTCATACCAAAACGATTCATTCTAATTTTTCGAACCAGTGTGTACACTTAACATTTATATACTTTCAGCTGCCTCTCAATTTGCACGTTAATATGATGGTCTAATTTCGTAGTTGGTATAACTGGTGAATAAATAAAGCATTTCCCCATCTATCCATTTAGCCATCCACGTTGGGAGTGAGTTCTATTCTTACTCTAAAAGTTGTTCATAATGTAACTAAAAGATTGTAGTCAAAAAATTATCCCGATATACTGGTAAAAATAGTCAAGGTCCTTTTCTCTAGATCCAAAAGTTCATGAGTTTGATTTCAGTAGTATTTGTAGTATCGATCTTTATCTTATTTCATTTGCTTCTTTTGTCTTTCTTATCTATAGTCTGCCAAGACTGTTGGTATTATTGCTGTTTTTAATTCACTGGTTTTCGTTGTTGTTTTGCTCTTATTATGCTGGTGTTACATGTTGTGGTTACATGGGCAGATAAACACCTATATTACGCAATTCGTCTCCCAAGTTTCACTGTCTCTACATTGTTTCGGGGCTAAATGCTAGGGATATCACAGAGGCAGCACATCTGAACCCATATAAAGTAATGTAACCTATTCAAATAGCAGATTTCCAGCTTTAAGGCGTCGTCTCACAACCAATTGTTGTAGAATTAAAGAAATGCAGCGACGTAATCAAACTACCCTGGATTGGTATGTGTTAGGAATACCGTTGTAGAGTAAATTTTTATCTTTACTTGCTTTCTTTGTCGGTTGCATTGAAGTGTTACCATGTACGTTTGCTTGTTCCTAACGCATTGAGCTAGCTCGCATACAGTACTTCCTTTGCCGTTTAATTTCTAACCTTTTCGACATCATAGGTACGGGATTGGTGATAATATTAAAGGTTTTTTTTTATCTATCACACTAATTGGAAAAGCTTTTTAACTACCTCAAACTTCTTCACCTCTATGGGTTGATGTAGACTTACGCTCCTGTTTCAGAGCAGAACAGATGAAATACCTACAACTGCATATTTGTTTAACGTTGTCTAATTGTAATAAACTTGTGATAGGATTTCGCCATTCCTGAGAAATTTTCAGTTCATACGTCTTATGAAAAGTCGTACTAAATGTTTACATATTTAAAATTAATTGGCTTTTTGCATTGTGAATTCTTGTCTGCGCTCATTTATCGTCGATTACGTTCCGTTAGAATTTTTCATCATTTCTACTTATAGTATCTTAATCGAAGATGCGTCACAGAACATCAGTGCTTAACTCAATTGCCCAATTTAACGTATGCTGATTTCCCATATATGCCAGATCATCACGCAAATAAATTTTCAAATAATTCATTCCCACGGAATATCATGGCTAAAATAGACTCGGATTTCACTATTTTCAATGGATCTTGCCTTTTAAATTGTCCTGTGGGTTATAAGAAGTCATCTAAAACCGGTCATTGTTACCCATGTGGAGATCAGTGTGAACTTAAACGTGAGGTTACCAATTTTATTTTACAGTACTAATTAATGTCATCATAATGAACAATTTTTGACCCTGACCACGTACAACAACAATTTTCAAAGATGTGAAACGTTCTGTGGATTGAATGTACTAACATGTTATTAACTGAAAAGTTACAGTTTTGGTTTATAATAATAATACTAATGATAATAATAATTATTGAACCACTTTCTTTGCAAAAGAGCATGGACTGTCACCTTATTTAAACAAAATGATTCTATTAATGCATTTAGAATATATTAGTACAAAATAAATAAACTCATTTAGCAGGTATTTGGATGTGGACCACACTACAACGTTACTACCTGGCTACCCAAACGGAAGTGGATGGAGCGAGGTTCAAACCTGGGACTTGGACGGTGAGAGGTGATTGCTTAAACCTCTGATTTGCCATTACACGAAATTGATGCCCGCCTTCAGGAACCGGGGGTCAGATTTGAGACGTTTAGATCTACAGTTTAACGTTCTGTCAACTGAGCTGGTCTGGCGTTTTGTGTTAGTAACATACGAAGTCTAGACTTTACGTTAATTTTGACTCTACCTAATCGAGTGAATTACACCCCGAAATCGTAACAGTGTTCAAAATGAGGTTGAAACATGACTTTATATAATGTGGTCATGTTTTAACTAACTGAATGTTCTTCTTAAAGTCAGTAGTTACTCTAATAGTTTGTTGTTAAGGTCCATGATATTCTCATGATAATCACTTATTTCTGAAATGTTCGTTGATCAAAGAATACAAGAGCGTACATAGTTGGTATTTGGAAAAGACATTGCTGTCATCATTTTAGATATTTGAGATGTGTACATTAGAGATACTGTTAAGTTACAGTGTATCGTACCTCATACATCAATTATCTTCTATACATCATTCAGAATTTCTACATCTAAGTATAGTGACAAAAGTTTTGTTCTGCCATCATGTTCATGATGACTCATAGTTTTTTACTGAATATACTGCATTGTAGTTAATTGGAAATTTTTTTCATTTTTCGTGTAAATACCTATTTCATCTAACTTAATTCTTTCCATAGTCCAGTTACAGTTTTAATTTTTCTTTTAGTTATTTTTAAATAGTAAAAGTCATCCAAATATTTATGAAAGTAGTCGTCTAATTCCATCTGATCATCAATCAACAACTGTATATTTCTGACGGTGGTCTATCGAATCATTATAATCACATGCCTTTTTTAAACTGACATATATGTGTATTTTCCACAGGAGTATTTCGTTTGTTTAATTTTATTCAGACAATGAAGATTAATTGTTGTATTCGTCATTAAATTGCTCGAAAATTATTAATTAGCGCAATTTGATTACTGTTAATATTTGGAACTGCTTTTACAGATTGTCGTGAATTTTTAATACATAGTTTGAAAGTACTTGATAGTCTGGCTGGTTGCCATTCGGCTAAAGCTATTTACCTTAGTATTCAAGAAGGTCAACCGGGTAAGTGATGCAAAGGTTATTGTTTTGTGTGATAAAAATAAACTCTTGATTTTCATTACGGGATGGATAATATATCCAGCTGTTGTACATTTATAAGGATTGATATTTAGTGACGATCGAGTTTGTTCATATGATTTAAATATAGATATTATTTTGTCCAATAAAGACGAAAATGAGGGTTAAAAACACGTAATTTTAAGAAGTTTAACGTACTCCGATCTTGTTCCAATTTCAAATACTTATTTGTGGCGTCACACTTTTTCTATCTTCATTTCCACTGTTTGAAACGTAACTGGGGATTGTCACTAATTAGGCTCTTTATCTGCTTCATTACATTATTTGTTTGTATCGTGTGCACATATTTTTTCTCATATTCAGTTTACCAATGATCATGTGCACATCGAATCCCTAATCGAAAGTCACAATGAGCCGCATGCGTTTGTTGTTTGAATTAACACAAAAGCGGTACGGTTGTTCCGGCTGCATATTACCCTATGAGTCTACGTCTTGCATTAAAACATTTGACCCAATTAAAATAAGTTCTTTTTTATTTCACTAATTTCATTGGTTCTTCTGAAATCTGACCAAAAACAGTTACACAGTTCACGTACTTACTAGACAGTAGAATTTTTAATTGAATGAAAAGTGTAATCATAAGTAGATAAGGTAGTTATCGTTACTTGATCCAAACTGTAGACTATCTATCCGTACAGTTGTTGCTTTGCCGCATGCTATTCTTGCTATTATCACTGGTTTGATTATCTTTAATATAGTTTACTGCTTTATAGCTCTGCTGGTGGTTACTGAATTGCATAACATCGAAATATCAAGTGATTACAAATTATTGTATAACTTGGTTAAAATTCGTTGTAATCAAAGATAATAACTGCCAGTGTCTGTAAACGCGTTCAAATCTTTCAGCTGCTGAATTACTTTTTAAACTATTAGAGTTCGTGTTGTGTGGAAATGTATGCCTTCGAATACAGTGTCAAAATAATTTATTTCTCTTGTATTCGGAAATAAAAAAGTAACTACTAACAGTTAAAGCCTTAAAATAATACTACACATCATTAGATTCGCAAATATTTATCTTACCATATCAGTAACCGTATTGTATTTGAGTTTCAAACACTAAGTATATAAGATATACTGTTAAGATGTTTCTGATAATATATAATGTTCATTAGTAAAAATGGATTTATATCAGTCATCAAGGTTTTGTTCATGTTTTCATACGATGCGTCATCAGAGTTACTAGTTTCATGTTAGTAAATAAACTTGGTGTCGACTAAGGTGAATATGCTCTTCTTAATTCATGTAATTATATTCGAAGTGATAAAGTTAGCAATATATACTCATCGTTTATCCCATAGAAGGAGAATAATGTTCTGTAGAATTCGCTTGTTTAAATGTTAATTACTCTAACTTTTACAAGAGGGAAGTACTTTTAATTAATCAATAATCGCAAAATAACACCGCATATATGTTACAGTATATTACAGTGTAGTATCTTTTTCGGTATTTACAGAAATCGTGGCTCTCTTATTGGACAAGGCATTTGCAAATCTAAGAGTGATATATCATAGTCTGCGTATAGTACGCTCTTCTGTTCTTAATAATTTAAATTTTCTACGACACGTTCGTTTTATTGGTCGAATAGGGGGAAATATTTCCAATCATCCGTAAGTTCTGCTGACATATTTGCTTACGTTTGCTTTATTTCTTAATGTTAAACCTAACAGGCAGTAGTCCATTTTTTCTCGTTATAAACGGGGAGAATATATAAAAAAGTCAATGGCAAGATTTAAGTTTCACATGTCAACTGAAAACCTCGTAACGAAAACTCCCAATGATATCTCATTTTAATATATGGGAACGATTCCATAGAATTGAAATTTTTTGCCAGAATTTTTAACTCAATAAAAGCATTATTACTATTTGTAGTTTTAATCTTGAATGAAAGTTAAGATAAGTACAAGCAAAACTATCTATTGTTTTGCCCATGAAAATCGATTTCAACAGTAACAATATATTTGAAGGGAATTCATTAACATTGTTACTGTAATATATATTTATGTTTCATATAAATGATGAGTAGTGTTTGAACATGAGGTATTAGGTTCGAATCCATTTTCACATATTTCCGTCCGGAAGGGGAGTCGGTAACAAAAAAGTGGTGTGTCCCAGAGCCGAATACATAAAATCTGCATTTGGTAAGTCAGTGGCATTGGATTTTTATAAATTATCATACAGCTTATGCATTGGCTATGGTTAATAGATACAAACGTAATCTTTTATAAAACTATAACCATGATCTGATCTATGTATAAAAAATATATATAAGTGGTTGGCTGATTCAGTTTCAAAAGTTATGCTCAGGTTTAGGTTGTCATTATTTCGAATGGATTAGAGAAAGAGAATTTTTGAGATAAATATGATAATGTATGAAGAATAAAGTATCATTTTTACTTCCAAGTCTTAGATTTCATAATCATCCTACAACAAATCGCTGTTATACAGTTGTCTTTCACAATACTATTGATAAAAATGTTTAATATTGCCTTTATATAAAACCAATATTTATGTGTTAATTCTTATTCAGTTGTTTGAAATCTTATCTATTAACTCACAGAATTGTTTTTGAATTATTTGGAAATGACAATTTACGTGATCTTTGGCCTATAACAAATTATGCTAATAATACTGATGATGGCCTACAAATTTTATCTAATGGTTTAATCCGTATCACTCAGAATCGTCAGTTGTGTCCTGAGAAGATTTTTGAACTATTCGATTCTAATAAAATCAAATTAGGGGGAAATAATATTACACTTACACAAGCCGAACGTGAAATGATAACAATTACAAATGGAGATTTAGCTTATTGTAAGTTCAAATGTGTAATGTAATTTGATTAGGTGGTACCATTAACAACTTCACACATTCTTTTTCCTTCGAACCTATTTTTAAATAAGCACTTTTATAATACAGCTTTTTAAACAACTTGATAGGCGTTTGGTCAAATATTTCATAACGTCGTTATATATACTGATGTTGTACTTGTATTTACTTGTGTTGTTTACGAAAATGAGAGGACGAAAACCGAATGTCCGGCCCTTTAACCGGATCCCAAACCAATGGTGCACATGGGCTTCAGTATCCTGTGGGAACAAATGGCGTATGAACTAATTTCTTGGTCACCGGCTACCATGGGACTGCATCTCCTCACGATGTTCCACTGCCTTGTGGGTCAAAACTTTAGGTCAAAGGCTCGGGGTGTGGCCCCCTAAGAAAACCACCTGCTTCGGTCTGGGCACCCGGGCAGTATCTCAACCCACACAAAAAGTGATGAACTGTCTACTTATGGAAAATATTCTACTTGCTCCGAATGATAATCAAATGACTCACGTTATTATTATTATTATTGTTATTATTATTATTTACTACGTCATTTATTCACCCTCTTTTATTTTTATTCTGTGTATACTTACTTTTTGACTTATACAGCAACTCGTTTGTGGTGAAAATTTGGCTCTATCTAAACGTTCTCAAGTCACTGTCTGGTTGGGAATTGTATGCTACCACCAAGTACGAGTACTGAAGCAGTTTTTCTGAAACCACGTGCACCATTCAAACTGACTGCCTTCAACGTTCGCACACTTATGCAGGTCAGACAACAGATAGGGCTGGCTATGTCTTTGGAAAGTCTTAATATCGATGTTTGCTGTCTATCCGAGACCCGTATTCAAGACTCTGGTGAAGTACTACAATTTCGATCTCCATCTTTCGCTTCAAAAAGCTTGTTTTACATACGCTTATACGGGGACCCTGTGGCATCTTCGTCAGGTCTTGCTGGCGTTGGTGTTGCACTAAGCGCTAGAGCTGAGGCAGCATTAATCGATTGGATCCCCATTCACAGTCGGTTATGTGCTGTTAGATTAGAGAGTTCCATCAAAGTGAAAAGAAATCGACGTGAGAAACGATGTCTTTTCGTCATCTCCGCCTATGCTCCGACAGATTGCAGCCCGGATGCAATCAAGGATGAATTATACCACCACTTATCTGTTTTTCTCCAGAAAGTGCGTTCGACAGATATTGTAGTACTAACCGGAGACTTGAATGCTCAGGTCGGGCGTCTAGGCACAGAAGATAATTGTTTAGGTGGCCGACGGGGACTTGTTGGTGTTACGTAACGAAATCGGGCAAAGCTTACGTAAGGAACGAAAAGCCTGGTGGTCGGAGTGTGATGATGAGCTGGAAGCAGCAGTTACATCCGGTAACTGCCGGAAGCTCTTCCAACTCATCCGGGCCACTGGCAGCAAGAAGTCTGTTGCGAGCGAAACGATTTGCGAGGGTGACGGGATGCCAATCACTAATATTTATCGACGTCTTGGACGATGGGCAGAATTCTCCGAAGGGCAGTTCAACTGGCCTACTGCTCTGGTAACATTGGTCGGACTGTCCTGCCCTCCATGGCCGGTGACGACTGATCCACCAAACGAGGCGGAAGTCCGCCAGGAATTCCAACTCTTGAAGCGCTACAAATCACCTGGCCCAGATGACTACCTCCGGCTCTTTTTAAAGATGGTGGTGACTTTCTGACTAAGGGACTGACTGTGTTGTTTACAAACGTCTGGGAACTAGAGAGTGCACCAACGTCATGGAATGAGTCGATAGTTGTCCCTATCTTTAAAAAGGGTTCACGTCGTTCCTGTAACAACTTTCAAGGGATAAGTCTACTCCCGATTGTGTCCAAGCTATTGGCTTCCGTCATACTTCGTAGGTTGTTCAAAACCCGAGAAAGATTGACTCGCGAGGAGCAGGCTGGTTTTCGTTCTGGTCGAGGATGTATTGATCATATCTTCACCCTCCGCCAAATGTTAGAACACCGTCATACTTATCAAAGGCCAACAATCGTAATGTTTCTGGATATTAGGGCTGCCTTCGACTCGTTGAACAGGACTGTTCTCTGGGATTGTCTATTGAAGAACGTTGTGCCTGAGAAGTTCATTAACATCCTAAAGGCCCTATATACAAACACCTCAGGCAGAGTGAGAGCATACAACCACCTTTCTCCATTGTTCCATCCGAGTAGTGGGGTTAGACAGGGTTGCCGAATCTCACCATTCCTCTTCAACTTTGCCATCGATGACATTCTGGAAACAGCTCTGATGGATGTAAGTAATGGCGGTATGGATCTGCTTCCTGGAGAAAGACTTCTCGACATTGAGTAGGCGATAATGCCCAAGGTATGCAATCCGCACTTAATCAGTTGGCGATCGATGTCCGTAGGTATGGTATGTGCTTTGCACCTTCGAAGTGCAAAGTACTTTACAAGACTGGCAGGATCGTAATCCTGTACTCATCCTGGATGGTGAGCAGATAGAAGTAGTCGAGAAGTTCGTGTATCTGGGTAGCTGCATAAGTGCTGGTGGTGGCGTGAGTGATGAGATCATTGCACGTATGGTGAAAGCCAGAGCGGCTTATGCCAATCTGGGCCATGTTTGGCGCCTTCGTGATGTTAGTCTGGCTGTAAAAGGTCGGATCTACAACACATCGGTGAGAGCAGTTTCGCTTTATGCTTGTGAAACCTGACCTCTCTGAGTTGAGGATGTTAGACGACTCTCTGTGTTCGATCATCGCTGTCTCCGAAGGATTGCTGACATCCAGTGGCAACACCATGTTAGTAATGAAGAGGTTCCTCATCGTGTGTTCGGGCACAGAGACGATAATGCACTTGGTGTCACCATCTCGAAACACAGACTTCGGTGGCTTGGACATGTTCTACGAATATCGTCCCAGATAATTCCACGTCATGCATTGTTTACCGACACTGGGACTGGTTGGAAGAAGCGGAGAGGTGGTCAGTGCATGACATGGTGTCGTGGTATGAAAGAAAGCTGCAAAGGACTGGCTTGTGTTGGTCCTTCACGACTCCCTGGCTGAGGTCCTAGAGATGGGGCGACACAGTGACTAGAGGCGTTATCAGATGTGGCTCAGAATAGAAGCCAGTGGCGATCCTGCTGTAACCTTCTTTTACTTTCTTCATAAAAATGGTTGTTTCTTCCTTAAATGAAAGATTTCTTCTGATTGTACCTTTCTGTTTTCCCCATTATTATTATTATTATTATTATTATTATTATTATTATTATTATTATTATCACACCACTTTACACTAATCTGTTCTTTTTTTACGCTACATCTAATGTTACACTCTACCTATCAAGTTTTTTCTATTATTTGTTATTTGGTTACTACACACAAATTATTTGGAAGTGATTTCGCTCAACCTTTTGTAATCTTCATAGATAGTTTGCCTTTATTATCCCTGTTTCTTGACAGTATAAAAAATATGTTAATCTGAGACTAGTCAATTGCAGTCCTAAACATCAGTGGGAACATTCAAACAATCAATACGAGATTAAGTATGTGAATCTGTGTTTTGTATTTTGTCATGGTATTTCCACAGCTAAATATTTTGGCTTTAAACGTCATTATGATGAAGGAAAAGTTTATTTATTTTAGTTGCTATAACAGCTTTTCTTTGTGTACAAACTCAGCTAACTCCGAAACATTCTGTTTATATAAGAGAAATTATATGTTATGATTACCTTAAATCGTTTAAAATCAATATGTCCACTTATTAATTCTATTTTTTAATTATAATTTTACACTTAGGTAATTGGCGTAAATTCGACATAAAACTTAGCGGTCTTAGTTCACATAGTGTCCGTGTTACATGGCCTTATCCGTCTACCGTTCAGTTTAACGATAAATCTATGAATGCTAACTTTTCAGATGATTTAAACTCTAGTTATGTGGATGAACTTGTTTTAATATATCTTTTCTATCAGCCAGCGTGAGTTAAAATCCTCAGTCAGTGATTCTTTTATTTTTTAAAGTTGAGTAATATTTCCATGTAAAGTATTTCTAAATGGTTTAACGGAAAAAACTATCCCATCAGTTTTCCTTGGTGCTACACTCTCGACATGATGAAATAGTTACGTTGTTTGCCATTCGCTGAATATTTTAATCAGGATTAGATATTTGAAATATCAAGTTTTTACTATTTTTTGTTAGATAAACGTTCAGTTTACAATGAAGTTTTTATGAGTTTAGATTAGAATAATTACATCTACTTACATGAAACTATGCTAATCTACATATTTTTCAATGAAGAAAAGACTGTTTTCTGTTGCTAATCGTCATCATACATACATACATACGGAAATTTTATTCATTGAATTACTGAATAACTTAACTTTTCATTTTTTAGCCCTAAAGATATTCAAAATATTGTCAATGACCGAAGAGTCTACGATAAGAATTCGTAAGTTGTTTGTTTCCATTCCAAAATTCTTTTTAATAAGTTTCAATTATTTTCATATATACTGCATGTGCTTCACTTTTTATTTTTAGAACATTTATTTTTAGAATAGTTAGTAAGTGATGACTAAATAGCTCAAGTAACCTTTTCAAAGTACATTGTTCTATCACAGTAAATATGATAAATTTTGCGATAGGTAGGATAAACTTGTACATAGACTTTCTGTATGTTATGTCCTTGCCTTATACTATTGTCGCGAAATACGATTGCCAATTTAGATACTCTGACTTCTACCATAGAAAGGTGATCTCAGCAAGTGTGAGAACTACAGAAGCATCATCCTTCTCTCAATACCATAAAAAGTCTTCAACCGGGTGTTGTTAAACAGAATGAAGGACTCTATAGACGCCCAACTTCAAGACCAACATGCTGGATTCCGTAAGGATCGATCATGTACCGACCAAATCTCAACACTAGAGATCATTGTGGAACAATCAACTGAATGGAATTTGCTACTCTACGTCAACTTTATTGACTACGAGAAGACATTAGATAGCGTGGACAGGAAAACACTATGGAGGCTTCTTTGACACTACGGCGTGCCTGAGATGATAGGCAACATCATACGGAATTCTTATAATGGACTCAACTGCAAAATCGTGCATGAAGGGCAGCTCACAGACTCGTTCGAATTAATGACCGGTGTCCGCCTGTAGCTCTTCTAGAGTTACTGCCGGTCCCAAGCCCGGGTAGAGGAGGAAGGTTTGGGCAAGAGGTTAGCGACCCCATCCCGTAGAAAACTAACTCTCTAAGAAAACGCTAACCAGAAAAAAATAATTCAAACCATTTAACCTCTGCCTTGGGAGTTAGAAGGTCTTCATTTAGAAGGATTATGACGCTTCATGGTGAGAGCCGAGTTCCTTCGGAAGCCACGAGGCCGATGCCCCTTCTAACAACCAGAGCAACAATTTTTATAAGTACATGGAACGTCCGAAAAGTGTGGGAGACCAGGAAGACCAGTCAAATAGCAACGGAAACGAGGAGATACAAATTGGCAGTACTGATAATCAGCGAAACCCATTGGACCCAAGCTGGACAACAAAGGCTAAATACGGGAGAGATGCTGCTATACTCCGGTCACGAAGACAAAAATGATCCACACACTCAGGGAGTTGCTCTAATGCTGTCCAAAGTAGCACGAAATGCACTTGTAGGATGGGAATCTCACCGATACAAAATCATCAAATCATCATTCAAAACAAAGAAGGAGGGGATCACAATGAATATTATCCGATGTTATGTACCCACCAATGATAGCAACGACGACATTAAAGATCAATTCTACGAGCGGCTGCAGTCAATCATAGAGAAGTGCCCAAGAAACGACTTCACCATTCTGATGGGAGATCTGAACGCCAAAGTTGGAATAGACAACACCGGATATGAAGATATCATGGGACGACATGGACTGGGAGAGAGAAACGAAAATGGAGAAAGATTTGCAAATCTGTGAGCCTTCAAAAAATCGGTCATAGGAGGCACAATATTTCCACCCAAACGTATACACAAAGCTACATGGATCTCACCGGACCACACCACAACGAACCAGATAGATCAGATTTGCATCAATAAGAAGTTCTGAAGGACAGTGGAAGATGTGAGAACCAAGAGAGGAGCTGACATAGCTTCAGATCACCACCTAGTTGTGGCCAATTTAAAACTGAAGCAAAATAAGAACTGGACAACTGAACAAACAGCGCTACAAAGGTTCAATACAGCCTTCCTTCGAGATACTGTCAAACTCAATGAATTCAAGATAGCTCTCAACAACAGGTTCCAAGCCTTACAGGATCTACTGAAGGAAGAAGAAACTACTATGGAGGACAGCTGTAAAGGTCTTGCGAATTGAACGCTATATTCTTTCCTAAGCTATTCAGATAACCCGCAAGCTAGAGCTACACAGCGACCTGAACACCAGAGAGATAACGCAAATTATGAGAGAAATACGTTACTCCAAGGTTCGTTTTGTACAGAAAACTTGGGTATTTATAGATGTTAGCGTTTGTTAAATCAACATCATATTTCGGCCAATCCGTTAACCACATATTATGCTACTGACCAATAGTAGCACGCCATGTTACAATTCTAGAATGCTCCATCGTGCTCTGATTGGCTAGGACCCTTCGGCTCCTTTTGGGCCTCTGGAGGCTCCGTTGAAGTTCTCCGAAAGCCGACTCAGCACACAGAAGCATTAACTTCACCGTGTCAAGAGGTTGTGGGCCTAAAGAAGCACCATCATAAGGAATGGATCTCTATAGAAACACTGGACAAGATCAAAGAAAGGGAGAACAACAAGACAACAATTAACAACAGCCGAACACAAGCACAAGCTGAATACATAGAAGCAAACAAGCAAGTGAAGAAGAGCATTAGAGCTGACAAGAAGAAGTATGTAGAAGAACTAGAAACGACAGGGGAAATAGCTGCAAGGGAAGGAAATATGAAACAACTTTACGATACAACGAAGAAACTATCAGGGAAATACGGTAAACCAGAGAGATCGGTTAACGACAAAGAAGGCAGGCCAATCACTGAAATTCAAGGACAGCGGAGCAGTTGTATAAAGTACTTCGAGGAACTCCTGAATAGGCCGGCTCCAATGAATCCACCGGACATCGAAGCAGCACACACAGATCTTCCCATAGATGTCAATCCACCAACGACGGAAGAAATCAGAATGGCCATCGGACAAATCAAGAACGGGAAAGCAGCAGGACCCGACAACATACCAGCTGAAGCACTGAAGTCAGACATCGAAGTAACTACAAACATGCTTTACCTTCTATTCAAAAAGATTTTGGAGGAGGAACAAGTGCCGATGGACTGAAAAGAAGGACACCTCATCAAGATTCCAGAGAAAGGAGATCTGAGCAAATGTGAAAACTACAGAGGCATTACACTACTGTCAGTACCAGGGAAGGTCTTCAACAGAGTGTTGCTGAACCGGATGAAAGATGCAGTAGATGCCCAACTTCGAGATCAACAAGCTGGACTCCGTAGGGCTCAGTCGTGCACAGACCAAATCGCGACACTACGGATCATCGTCGAACAATCAATTGAGTGAAACTCAACACTGTACATCAACTTCATTAATTAAGAAAAGGTATTTGACAGTGGATAGGAGGACATTATGGAAACTTCTTAGACACTACGGAGTTCCTGAGAAGATTGTCAATATTATCCGGAACTCATACGACGGACTACAGTGCAAGGTCGTGCATAGAGAACAGCTGACAGATGCATTCCAAGTAAGGACCGGAATCAGACAAGGCTGTCTACTCTCTCCCTTCCTCTTTCTTCTGGTGGTCGACTGGATTATGAAGATTTCGACATCTGAGGGAAAACACGGAATACAATGGACAGCTCAGAACCAATTAGACGATTTGAACTTCGCAGATGACCTAGCCCTCCTATCGCATATACATGAACAAATGAAGATAAAGACAGCCAGTGTAGCAGCAGTCTCTGTATCAGTAGGCCTCAACATACACAAGAGGCAAACCAAGGTCCTCAAGTTAAAAACGGAGAACAGCAATCCAATCACTCTTGATGGCGAAACTCTGGAAGATGTAGAATCCTTCACATACCTGGGAAGCATCATCGACGAATAAGGAGGTTCAGATGCATACGTAAAGGCGAGGATTGGCAAAGCAAGGGTCGCATTTCTACAATTGAAAAACATATGAAACTCAAAACAACTTTCAATCAGCATCAACGTCAGAATCTTCAATACCAACGTCAAGGCAGTTCTACTGTACGGAGCTGAAACTTGGAGAACTACTACAACCGTCATCAAACATGTACAAGTATTTATAAATAGTTTTCTTCGCAAGATACTCAACATCCATTGGCCGGATAACATCAGCAACAGCCTTCTGTGGGAGAGAATAAAACAGCTTCCAGCTGAAGAAGAAATTAAGAAAAGACAATAGAAATGGATAGGACATACATCACGCAAATCATCAAGCTGTATCACGAGACAAGTACTAGCTTGGAATCCTGAAGGGAAGCGTAAAAGAGGAAGGCCAAAGAACACATTACGTCGGGAAATAGAAGCAGATATGAAAAAGAGGAATAACAACTGGAAGGAGCTGAAAAGGATTACCCAGGACAGGGTTGAATGGAGAATGCTGGTGAGCGGCCTATGCTCCTTCACGAGGAGTAAGAGGTGTAAGTAAGTCCGGCAGGGTTGCTTACTCCCACCCTTTTTCTTTCTCCTGGTAATCCACTGGATTATGAAGACTTCAACATCTGAGGGGAAGCATGGGATACAGTGGACAGCTAGGATTCAGCTGGATGAATTAGACTTCGCAGATGATCTGGCTCTCCTGTCGCACGTGCAACAACGAGTGCATGAGGAGACAACCAGTTTAGCAGCAACCTCAGTAGCAGTAGGTCTCAACATACACAAAGAGGAAAGCAAGATTCTCCGATGCAACAGAGCATACAACAATCGAATCACATTTGGCGGAGAAGATTTGGATGATGTAAAAATCAATACATTTCTTGGCAGCATCATTTATTAGCACGGTGGATCTGGTGCAAATGTGAATGCGAGGATCAGCAAAGCAAGAACAACATATTTACAACTGAAGAACATCTGGAACTCAAAACAATTGGCAACCAGCACCAAGGTCAGAATTTTCAATACATGTATCAAGGTAGTTCTACTCTATGGGGTGGAATCTTGGAGAACTAGGAAAACCATAATCTAGACGATACAAGTGTTTATTGACAGTTGTCTACACAAAATACTTTGGATTCGTTGGCCAGAGACTATCAGCAACAACTTACTGTGGGGGAGAACAAATCTGGAAGTGGATGGAACACACATTAAGGAAAGCACCCAACTCCCTCTTGGTATCCTGAAGGTCAAAGGAAAAAAGGAAGACCAAAGAACACATTACGCCGAGAAATGGAGGTAGACATGAGAAAAATGAACAATAATTTGATGTAACTAGAAAGGAAGGCCCAGGACAGGGTGGGTTGGAGAATGCTGGTCGGCGGCATATGCCCCATTGGGAGTAACCGGAGTAAGTAAGACTTATACGACCCAACCAGTGACGTATACACCAGTACGGGCAGCCTAGAGTTCCGATTGCTCCTCTTTTCGCCAAACGCAACCTGTTAAGTCCAGAACGCCAATCTCGACCTCCACTATCCTATATTTCAGACATACTTCGTTTATTTATAAGCAAAATCAAATCACAATACACCCTAAAACAGAAAATAACATTTTTACAAGATCAAACTAAAAGTGGCTGTGATTGTCAGAAACTGTTATTAATAAATTGGGAATAGTAAATGGTGTGATAATAGTCAATAAGTCAAATAAAAGCTCATAATGGAGGGACTATGGATATACATATGATATAGTTACTTAATAGTCAAACAATAAGAATATTCGTGTAATATTAGTTCACAAGTAATGCCTAACGGTTACCATTCATTTATTCTCGTGCGGATATAACACTATGTATATTAACATAAAATGTACACTAGATTGATAAACGTTTAGATAGATTCGAATTTCCACCAAAGACGAGCTGCTGTATAAACCGAAAAATAAGTATAGACGGAGTAGGAATAAAAGAGGGTGAATAATGATGTAGTAAATAATAATAATAGTAATAATAATAATAATAACAATAATAATTTGAATCACTTGATTGTTATTCGGAGCGAGAAATGTAATTTCCATAGATATAGAGAGTTCATCATTTGCATGTGGACTGTGATACTGCCCGGGTACCGAAGCAAGTGGTTATCTTAGGGGGCCACACCCCGAGCCTTTGACCTAAAGGTCTAACCCACAAGGCAGTGGAGCATCGTGAGGAGATGCAGTCCCATGGTAGCCGGTGACCGAGAATTGGTTCATACGCCATTCGTTCCCACAGGATATTGGAGCCCATGTGCACCATTGGTTTGGGATCCGGTTAAAGGGCCGGACATTCGGTTTTCGTTCTCTTATTTTTGTAAACAACACCCCCGCCACGAGAATTTCGTGTATCTGGGTAGCTGCATAAGTGCTGGTGGTGGCGTGAGTGATGAGATCATTGCACGTATGGTGAAAGCCAGAGCGGCTTATGCCAATCTGGGCCATGTTTGGCGCCTTCGTGATGTTAGTCTGGCTGTAAAAGGTCGGATCTACAACACATCGGTGAGAGCAGTTTCGCTTTATGCTTGTGAAACCTGACCTCTCTGAGTTGAGGATGTTAGACGACTCTCTGTGTTCGATCATCGCTGTCTCCGAAGGATTGCTGACATCCAGTGGCAACACCATGTTAGTAATGAAGAGGTTCCTCATCGTGTGTTCGGGCACAGAGACGATAATGCACTTGGTGTCACCATCTCAAAACACAGACTTCGGTGGCTTGGACATGTTCTACGGATATCGTCCCAGATAATTCCACGTCATGCATTGTTTACCGACACTGGGACTGGTTGGAAGAAGCGGAGAGGTGGTCAGTGCATGACATGGTGTCGTGGTATGAAAGAAAGCTGCAAAGGACTGGCTTGTGTTGGTCCTTCACGACTCCCTGGCTGAGGTCCTAGAGATGGGGCGACACAGTGACTAGAGGCGTTATCAGATGTGGCTCAGAATAGAAGCCAGTGGCGATCCTGCTGTAACCTTCTTTTACTTTCTTCATAAAAATGGTTGTTTCTTCCTTAAATGAAAGATTTCTTCTGATTGTACCTTTCCGTTCCGCCATTTTTACCATTAATATTATTACACCACCTTACATCAATCTTTTTTTTCTCCTTCCCCTTAAATTCTCATTGTTTTGTGTGGCGCATATATATTTGGCGCATTCTTGTTCCAATATTTATGTGTTCAAATAAATAAACAAATAAAGATTGATAAAGGTTAGATTAAAAGCTATATGTAGATGGATCATAGACTATCCATTTTTTTTCAGTTGTATACAGTTTGGCATTCTTTTACCAAATAAATGATTCCGTGTAGTAATTGTGGGGTTTCTTTTTTCCTCTCTCACACATACATGTACATTATTAATTAATTAATTAACTTGAACACATAAATATTAGTACAAAGTGGTACCAGATACAAATGCGCCACGCAATAGCAATTAGGATGTGAAGAGATAAAGAATGTTAGGTGCGTATAAGAAAAAGGGGAACAATAACGAACAGAAATTAGTGTATGACAGTGAAATAATAATAATGGGAGAGACAGTTCAGTTAGCAAAGGTATAACCAGGAAGAATTCTTCTAGTTAAAGAAGGTAGGTCCATTTTTTTTTATGAAGAAAGTAAAATAAAGTTACAGTGAGATCTCGGCTGGCTTTTATTCTGAGTCATATCTGATAACGTCTCTAGCTACCATCTCTGCACCATCTCTAGGACCCCAACCAGGGAGTCTTGAAGGACCAATTAAAACCATTCCTGTATAGCTTTCTTTCATACAATGACATTGTCATGAACTGACAAACTCTATGCTTCTTCCAACCAGTCCCAGCGTCGGCAAATAATGCACGGCGTGAAATTCTCTGGGACGACATTCGTAGAACATGTCCAAGCCACCGAAGTTGATGTTTCAAGATGACGACACCAATTGAATTATCGTCGCTGTGCCCGAGATGCAGTTCCATGGTAGTCGGTGACCAATAATTAGTTCATACGCCATTTGTCCCCTCAGGATACTGGAGCCCATATGCACCATTGGTTTGAAATCAGGGTTTTCTAACTCCCCTAGATGGACCCTCCGTGTCCACCAACCTGGAGATTGAAATCCCGAAACCTAATTGATAACACAGAACAGTGGGATACCTATTTTGTTTCTACTTTTGCAGTCTATTTCATTAGGCTCATACCCTACTTCTCACTGAAATTTGGGATAACTTTCAATTTAATTATTAATAAAAGCTATGGAATTTACATTTTAAATGTTCATCATAACTTAAATGTTTATTATGCTTCTTTGTTTTGAGATAAAAGTTTTGAGAACTTCCTAAGAAATTCAATAGTACGCATTTTAATTCTATGATATCTGTTTGATAAGTAGCTTAGACTAGAAATATTTCGTTTTGTTACTACACTAACCAGATATACTTTTCGTTCCGATTTCCAGCTATTAAGTCTCAGGATGGAATATTGACTAACATATAGATCACATTAATTATGTTAATCATGACTTATTTTTATAGATGGCGTATGTTAACAGCATCGTGTGATTCAAATCCAGGAGATAATGTTCGAAAAATCCCGCATTTAGAATTCGATTGCGGATTAACTTTATTTAAATTAGAATCTGCTATGCGTTATGTTGTCTACGTGGAGATGAAATTTCCTCTGAAACAAACTGGTGCTATTAGTAATTTGGTTTACTTCACAACATTATCGATCAGTAAGTTAAAACATATATCATATTCCCAAACATATACATGTATGTTTGTGTATATATTTGTAACAGGCATCTAAAAATTTAGTTTTGAAAAAAAAACGCTTTTGATGTAGAAGATAGGCTAGTCAGGGAGTTACCGAGAAATCGGGTGTCCGTAGTTCGTGAGTTACACATTTAGACTTTTTATTATTCTTAGTTTCGATTCTAGAACTTCTAACCCTTATGCTTTCCATGTTACTCTTCAGGTATCGAATTGAAATCCCGTAGTCTTTACTCGGGGCTTATATGAACTTATATTCAGGCTATCATATCAAATCGATTTCCGATAAACCGAAACCTTCGTTCACGTTCATGGTCTATTGGTGCTGTTATGTTGTTGTGCCTAAAACGAAGAAAATCTCTGTCTTATGGGTTTATAATTTGCTGCTATTAACAAACTAATAAACTTTTTAATGAGTCTGATCTTATGTATTTCTTAACTTGACTGTCAACCCAATTCACTTATGCAGTCAAGTATACTGCAATCAAATATAATTAATTGAATCTAACCCATAGTATGCATCGTATTACATAAGTCAACTACTAATTCTGATAGTAGTAAGCTCATGTTCATCAAATACATTATACAATACGTTACACATAATGTATAATCTCACTATATGTTCATGATGATTGGAGTTGTAGGTTGACATTGTGTTGACTGTGCTGTGAGACTCCAATGAGTTAGTGATGTTTATTGTAACCATAATTTTCGTGGTAAAGATTACATTTTAAACCATATAATTGAATTTCAAAATTACATCATTTGTGCCAATTTTGATGTGTAGTGTCTTAAAACATCCACCCTAGATTCCAAGCACACCACAAAACTCGATAATCATACAATTTTTAACATGAGACTTACGTCGAACCTGCCAGTTATTGTCTTTATATATTTATAGATCCATCTCCTCCTCAGTATTCCTGGTTGGAACCTGTGGATAAACATTCACTTCGCTTAACGTGGATGCCACCAGCTAAACCAAGTGGGATCATTGATACTTATTTGATATGGATTCATATTCTTGAAGATAATCCATCCGATTATTTGACAAGGGATTTCTGTATACACAGTGAGTTTATATGTATATCTGTAAACACTAATCCATCATCTATACTTTTGTCCTGTCATCGAGAATTTCTCTATTTGTCTTGTTCAATTTAGTTGTATCAGTCAAACTGTAGACTTGTTTTTTATCATAAACGTTGGCGTGTAGTCTAAACTTGAATCGCATTGAAAATCATTATTCTTTGCATATTTAATCGTTCGTTTTAGAACCTAACTGGATCCACTCGGGTTGGGATACAAATTTACCGTTCAAACATACAGATCATATTAATTTTGAAAGGGGTTATTGTGATTCTTGTCTGTCTTGTCCTGACTTGCATGAAATTGAACAACTTTCAAAGTTAGTGTTTTACGTTCTTTTTTCTGATTGGTCAAATATAAAAGAAATGCCTGATTTTTATATTTGCTGATTTATTTAGTCTATTTTTCTGAAGACTCATAAGAGTAACAGAGAATTAATTAGTTATGATAATTTTCTTGCTCTTTGAGGTTTGATAGAGTGATTATGAATATTTTTATCACAATGTTAAATAATTTAACATCAAACTAAGTGTTTTAGCCATCGAAAACATCTAACATGCGAAAAGGTATCTGTTCATTATATTTATTTTATTGGTTTACAATCTGTTGATACCTTATAAATCTCTATTCAGCATTGTTTGCACTTATTGTATTCATTATTAAACTCAGTAAAATAACGTTGTCTTTCATACATTGATATTTGCTCACTATATCATGGAATTTATTAATTTATTAGAAACGCTTATTGATGTTTTGTTTAATATAGGACTTAGATAGAATTATATCTCAATGGCTAAATTGCTAATTTATAGCTTTTGAGACATTGACTCATTCGACAAGATTTTCGGAACAATAATAGAAAGTTTCCTTTTGAAACCGATAGTCTGCCTTTTTAATGAATCTGTTTGATTGAATGTACGTCGTATAAGGGTTCTCGAATTAGGATAAATTTTGTTGCAGTGCGATGATTTTCATCATGTTTTAGTATATTTGTCAGTCTATATACAGTCATTAATAAATCCCAAGGATATTTTCGCTTCTGTGACACGGTCTTCAAACTTCAGGATCCCATTGAGTGCCTTTGACGCAATGGGATCCCAACGTATTTTTTAAATACTAAAAGATTGCATATTGTTACTTAATTCAGCACATAACCAAACAGTATTGTTTTCAATCAGATTCTCATCAGTCTTTTTTCTAATGTACAGTAATATTTATCATCATTTTGTGTATTCTCTTTATAAGGCTCTACACTTCTAAATCAACAATTATTGTTACTTTACGGTATACAAAATGTTAGAGTTGGATTAATGCGTATTACAAATTGAAAACCTCTAGTTTTTATTTCCATTGAGTTATAAATACCACAACTCTTCAACATCACCATGCGCTCGGTATGTAGGATTAAAATAACCTACAGATGAGTTTCTGAATTTGTTTCTAGGCTGTCGAACATAAAGTCTTGGCGTGGCCAAAGTCAAGACAAGTAAACCGTTTTGCGTGATTTATTGTTCATCAGTAGTTGACATGTCTTGTTTATTGTAATATTTTTAGTATACAGACAATTTCATCTTCAAATGAAAATTATTGGCCCTCGTCTGTGAGCAAATGGATGACAGATAATTTTGGGAATATTTTGCCAGTATATATTGGTAATGCCTTCATATATATATCGTATATTTAGGAATTTTCAATTTTTAATCTAGTCTTCAAACGCGCTGTCAAAGGAAGTTATTTTAAGTGGTATCACCATTTTATGGAGGTTTTTTCATGAGTTATGAGACAAACTTGTGGGTTGATAAAATCAATGAATTAAGTGCTAATCGATAGATGAACGCAATGATATAGTATATCTGCATCACGGCTACTCATAAGACCGTACTGTTTGCCCAGACCCCGAATGATTTGATATATAAACCAAGACCACGTTTGTATGTAAACTATGAACAGGAAATAAACCTGATGAAATGTCTTGGGCGATTGGATGAAATGAATTTGTGAGTAATCCTTCGGTCGATTAAGACCTAACTTAGATCAAATCTTTGGGAATCGTGTCACATCAGGCCTCATATCAAAGTTTCAAAGCCAATTTCAAGAACTGTTATTGAGTTACTGCATATCTCGTATCATGTCGCTCACCCTAGTATACAATTGGGGTGCCATTGATGGAGTTGGATAACCAGCTATCAGTTTATCTATACATGTGCTTTCCTAAATATATGTACAAATAGGTATTGTACTGAAGTAAATAAATACTCAGCTACTACTGACTCTTGTTAGTTGGTTACCACAATCTAGTTTGTTTCCCTAAAGGAAAATCCACTACATAAAAGATATGTCAACTTATTTACATAGTTATAGATGCTTTGTTAACTTATATATATGAATTTTAAATTACTCAAGATAATAATATGCATTGTCCCTTAGATGAGATAGCGTTTACTTTATACGTTTCTTACGCGATATTATTTCTTCTTCAATAATTCAAGATTATCTTTGGACTACTCTCTTTGAAAAAAGTTACAAAATAATGAATTTTCTTACCATGGATAACAACCCAGATATGTTTGGATTAGGTTCTCTCACTCTGAATGCATAAGGTTTTTTCAAGACTGGTCTACGTCAACGCATAGAATAATCGTAAGAAATGACGTAGTTGAGTGAGTTGATCACTCCATCTATGTTTGCGAGTTTATGTCTAACGTTCACTCGGTTTTCATTTAGAATGCTTTCTAATCTTTAACCAAACTGCACCACTATGCGTAAATGAGTTGTTCGTATCCAAACCAAAGAACGAGTATATTGCTCAGTAGTTGGTTTTTTTTCACTTTACGCTTAAAAAATGGAAAACATCTGTAGGTCACTGGTATCTAATCACAGATGCCTTCGAAGGTTTGCTCGTTTATTTTGAGACTGCCAAATAAGCAACCAGTCTTTATTTAGTCCCTATTTAACTCAAGTATTTTCTACAACTCAACTTGCATTCAACTGGTATTTATGCATCACGGGTTAGCATTAATTCCTATCTTTCCAAAAATAATAACGCATATGAAATTTTTGTTTTTGTAAAAGTACTAATTCCGTGAGGAAATGTGAACACAGTTAATAAAAAGGTTATAATACTAGATTACGTAATATGAATAATAACAATAACAATAGATTTAGTGAATATAATAAGATGATTGGTTCATTTTCTTCCTTTTAAATTATGCTTTAAATTTGATTCACCTCAAATTATTTTACCTATTCGTTAACTTTTCTGTTATTTCTTTTATAGTGGATGAAAATTTCTCACTCAAATCCGGTGCAGTAGGTCTAATTGTACAAAAGAACATTTCAACTTATTTCAAAGATATTTCATATTTCCAAACGAATTCTCATAAAACTTGTATTCAGTCAGTTAATGAAAATGTAAAATATTTAACAGGATTGTCACCATTTACAAGAGTACTTGTTGAAATACAAGCTTGTTTAGTAAGTTGGAAATCGGCCGTTGTTTCAGTCTTTCTCTGTTTATTCTCGTTAAAAAAAAAACTTTTGATACGTTCTACGTTTTCTTTAAAAGAAATGTATATTAATTTTATTAATTAATAAAAAAATATGGTGAGATCGAAAATTGATTTTAGCCTATCATTTTGTTTGGCCTTTATAAATTTATTTTGTCGGTTCGAATATTTGATTGTTGGTTAAAATTAAAACAAGCATCTAATGACTCTGGGATGCAGGTACATCCGAATGGCTAGTCCCAAACAGGACGAAATGCGCATTCTGAATTCCACTTCTAGCCACATTTCATCTATTCTGCATAAACAAACAATAGTTTTAATTTTTAATTGCAGCAAGTTTCTATTTATATTGTACATTTACAAACTTCTACTAGTAGCTTTTTAAATACTATGATGTGTTTCATTTATTTTTATTTTTTGATGCTTTAGGAGTACGATTCAATTTCTCATGAAAGATCATTAAAAACAAAATGTAGTCACCCACCACCTTGGTTTAATAGGAAATCTGGAAGTATTGTTAATCTCAATCAACATCAATGGGCCGCCTGTGAGTATGAACTATGCAGTCCAAGATCTACTGTGATAAATCGTGTAAATCCTCATGGTACGTTTTTTCGATCACTCATGGTATATTTCTTATGAATTTCTCTATGTTTATGATAACTGATTCATTTACTCCTCTGTATTGTAAGAGCATTTGACTCTAATATCATTTGATCTCTGTATCTCTTAGACTGATCCTTCTATATAACGAATTCTGATAACAATGGTATATTGTGTCGTATACGAGATGTGTTTGAAAGAGATCCGAATCAATTAATTCAGCGTGCCACATGTAGGATTGTAGGGAGTTTAAAGTTTTGTTGTGTCAATTTATGTAGTGATCAATCGTTACGTGCTGTGTGGGTTCATTTGCCACTCAACGATGTAGTGAGTGGGATTGATGTGGCAATTAATTGTAGTGTACGTTATTATGTTGGTTTTTGTAGTTCGAAAAGATCATTGATAAGATGGACATATACGGTCAGTCGCACATGTATAGAAATTGTACATGGATAGAATCTCATAATTATTTGTCTGAATGAGTACAAAGTAATTTATAGTATTTAAGTGATACATTTAGTAGTCACACGAGTGTTCTCTCTTATAGTGATATATCATACAAGGCTTCCACAAACTTCCCATGCAGACTCATCACGGCGAGACTATAGGTGAATAACACAGGAGCTTTTAAGGAATGCATTAGTCATGGAGTTAAATGAACTCAGTTGTGAATGGATTTTGTTCAGTCGTTGAAAAAACCAGTTAATCAGATCGTAAAAATGAGTCAACTACGATCGAAGTTACAACACTATAAAATTACTAACTAATCACTAAGACTATTTTATTGTTTTTTGGTTTTTTCCCTATTTCCAGTCGAATCTGATATCATTCCTGTATCCTCAATTTACGCATTGACTACTGGTCCAGGCAGTGTACGTATTACATGGTCCAGTCCTATTAAACCGAATGGTTTAATTATACATTATATATTACGTTATAGACCAAGAAATCATGACAATCATACAGATAATTATTCATTTTCAGACATGGTAAATTTACCGGTAGATATTTAAAATGACCACTTTTTTTATCTAATCATAATGTCTCTCTTTTTTAAAATAGCAAATTATAGGTTGTGATAGATTTAGATTGCAAATAAAATTATCTATCAGGTTATCAATAAATTGTTCATAGTAATGAATTCTGAAGTATTTTGTTCTGCCAATTGTTTGTCAAAAAGAAAACTGTATTCTACATTTTCCAAGAAAAGTAAAACAATTAAACTAAAAATGATGGAAATGAAATATATATTCAAGTGATTTCGAATTGATTATTTTACATTCTAGTGTTATTGTTGTGAAAGACAATGACAAAGTAAATTGCAATAAAGTGACCACTTGCTTTAATACCGAATTATATTTTATACAAAAGAGTTCGTAGTTTTTCTGCTAAATAGAACAGCAAATTGATCGCTTATTTCGTCTTTTTTTCTTGACATCAACAAACTGCGAAGTAACGTGAAAATTGAATGTGTATAGTTTGTTGTAGCTATTTTTGTCTGTCGACTGGTGATTTTTACATTGTCTACGGAATAAAACTTAATCAACCAACTACTTTCATTAGCTCGCTGGGAGTACGTTTTACCTCGAAATGTAATACACAAATCTGTGATTGGTCGTTTGTTCCTACTAATTTTATTATTTTATCTACTGTTCTCTTTTTTGCATTCAATAAAAAGCAATGTGTTAAATATAGCTCTGCTAAAGGTTTTTTAAGCTATCAGATATATTACCAAACGTTTTTGACTAAAATATATGATTTTCAACTCACTAAATAATCATACAACTCATAAATAAATGTTTAGTCAATAGAGATGTGACTTCATTAATATAGACACTTATCATCACACCAAAAGTTTATTATACTAAACACTTTGTATTCCTAATTTATTTATAGTCTGTACCATGGTTAACAAAATGTATACCGCTAAGTCATTGGGCAACAGTCAAACCAGAACAGAAATCATTGACTTCAAGTTTAGTTGTGGGTTTTAATAAAAAGATGGTATCACAAGGTGAACGTGATTCTAATGGTAACAGTAATACTGCTGAAGGCGGGATCTTAATCAAAGATCTGTCCCCAGGTAGCTATGAATTTCAAATCTTAGCCATTTCGCTTGCTGGTAGTGGAGAATGGAGTCCTACTGGAATTTTCAATATTCCATTCTATATAGATCATAATGGCATAGTAAACCGTATGTTTATTAGATTTTCATTATCCATAATTTATATCACCTCGTTATTTTAAATCCATGTACAGTAATTATTAACACTATAATTTGACTAGTTACATTTGTATTCATTGTTCTCTGTCACTAATAATATCTGCTAATGATTCTGTACTTTAGAAACACACTCATTCTAAAACAACAATGGGTTCAAGTCGACAATATGTTTGTATGAACCAATTCTCTGATTTTAAGTAAAGATGGTTATCATCTATCCACTATCTTATAAAAAGAGTGATGAATTTTGTTATTTCGAATTTAATTTTTAGAATCTTCCTGTTGTCGATATTTAAAATATGTCCAACTAACGATTCCTATATAGTGCGAAACATGCATTATAGATTCCATTTCTAGCTCGAATACTGGTAACTTAATAGCAATATCTAGACAATCTGCTCAAGATGCACAGTCTCATCAAAATTCAGTTCTTAAAATCGACAACAGAAGGATCCGAAAAGTCAGAGAGAAAATGATTAGAATTCTGATTGTTAACTTATTTGATAACATATGTGAAAGACTTTTGGAATGTTATACTTTTGTCGATCATATAGAAATAGGTTTTGTCAATCATAAATATCATAGAATAAGTTTATTTCTGACAAACAATGTAAATGATTATTTAAAACGTACTTCAGCGATCATAGAATATGAAGTGTTATTTTTAAAGGTGAATTTACATTTTTTTATAGACAAATGTTTATAAAATATTTAAAAGTTATAACATAGTATTCTGATGCTTGATATTTAATCAACAATCAATGTGTTGCGTTGAATACTTGGATTATTGTTGTAGCTAGTTGTGTTTTCAATTTTCTAGTTGCGAATTTCACTCTTACATTTCTCATCAGGATGTCATTAATTTTGACAGTATCATTACACAAAACATGATTTCCATCCAATGAGCTAGTTCCTAGTTTAATGACGGTGTTGGATTCTCTTGATTTTCATTGCGATTCACCAAGATACTTTTAAAATTTAGAAGCTAAAAGGTCATGAATTTATGTACATAATTGTTTCATTCTTGAAAATTAAATTTCAGATAGAAAACTTGCAAATATTTGCACAATCACTTTAGGTGCATTTCTGTTGCTCTCTTTCATTTTGGGAATTATTTGGTATAAAGCACGTCGTTAGTAAGTTGTATTCAATTTTGTTATCTTTCCATTTTTTTACAAATGAAGAAACCCATATATATCGTAAAGTCTCTCGTAAATATTCTTCTTTTCTAAAGCCAATTAAATCAATGAATAAAAGACAGATTAAACGTATTGCCTAACGTAAAATTAATTCTTTTTGTTGCCTTTGTGTAACTGTCTACGAAATAATTGTTTGTGTACATTTAATCAAAAAAGTATATTGTATTAAAAATACTGTTCAATCTGCTTACGTTAATCATCTAAACATCATTTAGTAAACATACTCTGCTATTATCCACTGATGTTTATTCTCCCTACTCGTCTGATATTCGCATACATCAGTTAAATGTTTTGTGCCTTACTCTTGAGTAAACATCTAATAAAGTATTGAAAATTTCAAAAGACGTAGTTAAGTTCATAGTTGTATACAAAGATTTGCTCTGTTAATTGGTTCAAGTCGATCGACAAGTAAACCCAGACTTAGGTTTTATACTAGTTATCATTAGTCAGCCAAATAATACATAGGGGAACTGATGCTACTCGTGGGATTGGTACTTTTATCAGCTAATGATATAACTACAGATATTTGGACTGCAACTAACCTCTTGTAGAACTTAGATCATGTGATAAACAGTTTTGTTCAGAATTTCCTTACGTGAATTTCATGAACCACTGGACGACAGAATATTTAGAATTATACTAACTTCAAGTCTATGGTTGTTGAGATCTTTTGAAAATAAAGATTGCTTACATTCTATTGTATGTGCTTAATGCAAATAATTTATTTATATTGATTTTATATTTATCTTTCTTTACATAGTTATTTAAAGGCTACAGCTTGGACATCAAACAATCCTGATTACTGTACAATTTATGAAGTTGACGATTGGGAAATTAATAAAGACGATGTTGATGTTTTACATTGGAAATATCCAATTGGTCGTGGTAGTTTTGGTACTGTATATAAAGGTGTTGTAAAACAGTTGAAAACACCAGCTAAATTGTTTTATAAAAATCCAGTAAATATACCTGTTGCTATTAAGGTAGGTATGTGATATTCTTCAATAGTTTTTTCATCTATTAAATAAATTGTTGTTGTAAGTGTTTCTCGTATTCTGATGCAATTAATAGTTGGTATTTTACTTTTCATTATACTATCATCGCCACTAAATATTTTCCGTTTTCTATTATAAAATATATTGATTCGATTATGCATATCTTTTATTTACTGTTCCAAGTTCACTTTCAGCGGTGAACATCGATTGCCAAAATAATTGTCCACACATTAAATTAGTTCACTTGTATGTATATACCAATCCAACTTCTCCTGTATAATTAGGCCGCACTCAGAGAGCTTTATCCTTGTGTGTTTGTAAACATGTATCAGCATGGTTGGGAAAAGGAGTTATTAGGTCGATTTACAACGCAATTCTTTCTCACTTGATAGATGGTGAACGTCATACTAAAATAGATGGAGCTTTCCCTGTTTTATATCAAGTTTCAAACAGTCTACCTAAAGGAGCTAAACTACGACTACTCTTCATAGCTGAAGCCATCTGGATGAACTCCAGAAAACTCAGCTTGTGTATTCAAAAGAGGTATATTCAGCTTTTGTGTTTGCCTTGGTCCATAACTAGATCACCAGATACCTAAACTGGGGATTATAGACCCCTTACCACTGCTTCCAATTTCTTTTGTGTTAATATCCTTCTTAATTTACATATTCATCTTTACCGATACCTCCTTTTTACATATTATATTCACACCTTATTATTAACAAAACTAAATTTTCCTACTGTGCATTTTATTCACACGATATTTTGTCACATTACTATTATATCGATTATGACTTGACACTTTACTATAAATCATTCTCACTTTCATTAAGTGACCTTTCTAATTTACAAATAGCACAATTTTGAAATATTTATGTCGTAACAGATGCAAACGTCCACCATGTTTAACATGCAACACTGTCTAATTCACTAATACATGCCTTATTTTGGCCTTTGTAAAATATCATAATTATGGACTTATCACTAGAGTCTGATGATGAAGTTATTGAAAACAATTGTTTGCTCAAATATTCTTGGTCCACTTGTGTTTGATCTTCTTTCTTTTGTGTCCTCTTTATTAGACAATCAGCATACACAGCACTTTATTTGATCATCGTGATTTCATCAATGAAGCATGCTTTATGAAACAATTTCAAAGTTATCATTTAGTACGTCTACTTGGTTTAGTAACTCAAACCAAGCATAAACATCAATCGGTATCATTTACTGATCAATGTATGAAATTGTTACATCATCATCATTTTGGTAAACTGTGTCGCTTTGTCAGTCGAATTTTAAAGTGGACACCAACTTCATCATCATCATCATCACCACCAAACGTAAAACAATCTTCTCTGCTTTCCTCGTCAATATCACCTCCATTAGGCAATCAAATGTTAGATGGTGAAGAGCTTAATTGTCACACTTTGGGTATGTAATGTGTTTATGTATTCTGCTTGGTTTTTTTCTACATTCAAATTGACATATGTTCATTCGTCATAAGAAATCGTACTTCTATCTTCCTTATAAAAAATTGTTTGGAAAATATTATTTTAAATAAACGTTTTCAGTGAATGCTTGTGTAGCTTGCGTTCATTGTTACCTCCAGTACTGATCCACTGGATGTGAAAAGAAAATCTGATTCATTATCAAACACTGGTCAGTGGTGGTGTAGTTGCAGATGAATTGAATCATTTATTAATATACTTTCAATTTCATGAATTATCTTTGAATGTTATCGAGATCTATAATCTGAAACGACCCAGTTTGCAATTTTCTCAGATGCTTTAAATAGTTGATTGGAGTTTTTCCAGATTCCACTTATGGTTGAAATTTTGAAAGTGAAATGAGTAGTTATCTCAGATCTCCTATTCATAAATTTCTTGTGTTTAACTTGCTACCACAATTGATATTATTGTCATAATTATTCGACTGCTTTACTTTTCTTGTCAATCATCTCTTTTTCATTGTATCAGCGTAAATTTTGACTACTTGAAACCGACATACTTCTGTGTCAATTCGTACATGATTCATGATTAATTATCAAATATCAATTCCTGTTTGCGTTACTTGTATTTTAACTACATAAAGTTAAGTGTGTATCCCAACAGTCATATTTCTCTAAACCCCAATAAAATAGATTGCAAGTTGCATTTTATATTTGACTATTTGTAAACTTAAATTAAATCCATTTATAAAATATTTTCTAATTTACTTTTATTTAATTTCACAGGTTTATTAAAACAACAATTAACACATGTTAACGATACATATTTATTTAATAACACTCAATCAATTGGTTTAATGAATAAAGTGGCACCAGAAAGTCCATTAGTTATTATGCAATTAATGGCTAAAGGCGATCTAGCTAGTTATCTACGTTATTTAGGTGACAAAGGACAAGGTTCCGTTAATTCATCACAAGCGTATTTATGGGCAACACAAATAGCTGATGGTATGGCATACTTATCTGCTAAACAGTATGTTCATAGGTAATGATTTTGTATTTAAACAAAAAGGGACTTCATACATTTTATGAAGCAAAATATCAATGTTAATTTGTTAGAAACTATTAGTTATTTTTTCGATAGTTGTATTCTGACAACTTATTCTTAATTCTTGATGATATTTCATCATTGGTACAACAAAAGTAGTAGTATTTATTAACTCATTGCTTCGCTGTTATTTTTTCCTTATTTAAAACTATTATACATGGATGTTTGCGGAATTGTGAAGTTTTATTTATTACACATAGTCTAATGTAACCAAATCCTTACCAGTGATGACAGTTGATAAAAAACTCATTTATTACATAAATATTTGTCAACTATGCTATATGTTATATGTAAATGGTAACATTATTGTTCCTCCAAATAAAGTAAACGATTTAGTAGTTAGTTTATTATCAAATTCTTCGATATTCAATGACCGGATCATTTCCAGCCACAAATGCAATGTGATTTAGCGTATGTTTTGATTTCATTGATGTAATGTATTTATCTGCTGATTCAAGATGTTAGAAGCATTCTATAGGCGTGTTAAATGTCTTTTATCAACTTTATCAAAATCAATTACACATAGACATCTTAAAAGAAATTGAAAATAACTTAAAAATAGGAATAATCAATTCGGTTTCTCTAAATGTTCCAATAACCGTTCATTTAATCTAGTTATAACCTTCACCAATATATCAACTTTAGGTTGCTTGAGGCAACGATCAAGAGACCCTGGACCTAAGTTTTATGCTAGTTATCGGCAAAGTGTATCTACAATCAGTCTGAAAGGTGAGTCCAGGTTCGAATAAACCAGTGCTAACTCCTCTAAGCATAACATCGGGTAGTGGGAGTTCGAATCAATCTCATCAAGACTGTGGGTACGATTTGCTGACGAGCATCAAGTTACCGTGCTTCAACACAGCCAGAGGAACTCAATGAGTTAAGAAGGAAATTATGTCGAAAGCAATGGATATATAAACATGATGAGTGCAGTTTCATAGGAATGATTCCGATTGAAGGATAGAAGGTTAGAGATAATACTCAACTCAGGATTTAGAAGAAGATTGAGGATGAATGCATATGCACCATTATTATTCAGTAGGGAACTGTCATTCAACATTCGCGACAAATAATTATGTATAGTACGTAGGTCCGGGCCAGGAGATTTTCACCTACTGATGTAGGTCAGACAAGTAGTTACGGTCTTCATGAATTGACACCATATTTACCTAACTGAAATCATAAACTAATAATTGGAAGGGTCATACCTTGATATTCTTCACTAATTTCTAGCGAAAATTAGGTAGATTGCAGAATTGACAACGAAGTTAAGTAGTTTTCCTGTCAAATAATGTGTTTTAGTACATTCACGTTAGTTTGCCACTTCATATTATCATACAATTCAATAAGAAATTTCATTGTCTTCATTATGCAGAGATTTAGCTGCTCGCAATTGTCTTGTTGATTCCAATCTAACGGTGAAAATTGGGGATTTCGGACTTTGTAGAGATGTTTATGGACATAATTATTATCACAAAACAAGTCACGCAAAACTACCAATCCGTTGGATGGCCCCAGAATCTCTCCAAACTGCTTACTTTACAACACAATCAGACGTTTGGTTAGTTACTAGCTATTTATAAAGATCTATTTAAATGATGGCAACATATTTTAAGGTTTCATTTTTTGTCAAACACGAAATACATAGAGTCAATTAGGTCCTGTTAGAAATTACCGCGGTTGTCGTCATTCACCTTGGTAGTTTTCCGTTAAAAAATGAAGTATTAAATACCAAATGCAGTGCATTGATATATTGTTTTACTTTGTCCTGCAGGATATGTTTCATTTTGTTATCGAAATAACTCGGTCAACATCAATGATAGAAACAGCATTTTATTCACTCATATACAATTATTCTATTAATTTTGATTCATAGTGATTATATGTCATTGTGACTTGTTAAGTTTTGAAATCAGCAGTAAAAATACAAGTCTACTGTTCATTCTTGAAATTTCCATAATAATAATGATCATGATCAAATCTCGAAGTTGTCAATTATAAATTTGAGGAAATTTAATAACATTAAAAGTAAATCCTTTATCTATATAGGAGGATTTGAAATCGTAATTTTTGTCTATATAATTTTTATTGCAAAAGGAAATTTATAACATTTAGTTAACGGCATTATAATATATAGGAATAGCCTAGAAAGATAGGGTTTTTTTCTTTTTTATTATTAGCCTGATTGCCTAATGAATGTCTCACAGCTAACTTTATGTACGCATTCTTGCTCAGTGGTTTGGCCATTTCTAGTGACATTTTGAAGAGAGATTTTATAACAGGTTCATGTTATTTTCAGAATAGTTTGAAATCATAGTGTAATGGATAAGTTCGTTTTATTTTGTAAATGTCGATAATCTCACAGGGTTACTTTATATTTCGGTGTTTGATCAATCCCTATTAATCGCTATTGGTAACTTAATGCAAAAATATCAAAGACATCATTCTGTTTTCGTTTTTTGGATATTAACTATATACTTTCTAGTATTTTGTAAGAAATTGAGTGTATTAGAAAATTATCACCTTATCATAACGTCTGTTTATTATGAATCGATTATACTTACTCCTTATTTCTTTTTTTATCGTACTTTCAAATGACTCAGGTCTTATGGTGTTGTTTTGTGGGAGATAGTTACTATGGCATGTCTTCCTTATCGTGGTATGTCTCATGAAGAAGTGATCAAGTATGTTCTCAGTGGAAAAACACTTCTATCCAATAGTTCGCCTACCAACTGTCCAGAACTCTTGTAAGTTCTTATAAGGATTTTTTTGTCCAGTTATCGAGTATTTATATTAGATTGCTTTCCATACTTTGATTTCTATTTTCTCATTCTTTTAACTACTGAATACGATGTTTTTTCATGTGTTGTTTTACATAAATTTCCTGTCGAATTGTGAGACTGTTTATACCTGTATTTTTAATGTTGTAAAAACTGACTAGGATTTTGAAGGAAGTTCAAATACAAATTTAAAACCTGCATTTGGATGATCCGTGCCATTAAAATCTAAATAATTCCGTTTCATCTTGTAAAATGGTCCAACGTTTCTCATTAGCTGTCAACCTCCTAGAGTTACATTAGTAATATTACTACAAAAGAGTTTTACTTACCGTGATCGTTGAAGATTAGTTTGAAATGATATAAGAGATGAGGAGAGGAAAGAATATATTTTGTTTATAGTCAGGCGATAAAATAATTTGATGTAGGAATCGCTCATCAGTCATGTACAACGTAAGATCACAAAATTATGCATCGGTCCATATTGCCACACCTCATTAGTACAACAAAAGGAACACCAAATTCATAAAATCAGTTACTTCAATAGTAGAGAAATATCTAAAAAAACATTCCATATAAGCATAAAATACAGGGAAAAAGAATTAGTTCGTAGAAAGAAGGGTATAAAGTAATTTTAATCTCACGGTTTAAGTGAAGACAAAGAGTGCATACACCTACACCATTGTGATCGACTCTGAGCCATGTCCCCCAGAGTCTCCCACAACTAGCTACGACAGTCGCGTGCACCACAGTCAAGTAGTTTACATCTACCGACATGGCTCACACTGGAAGTTAATGACTTTATGGACGCCAAATTTTCGTTTGGCAGCCCTAACGTTCTTCCAGCCGTCTCCAAAACTAGTCAGCATTACTCACCGTGGTAGTCGGTGATTAAGCATGTGTAATACGTAGCCTAACCATCTCAGTTGATGTAGATTCACAACCTCATCGACGAATTTACCATCATTCCCTAATACCATGCGTCTAACCTCATTATTACTTACCTGGTGATCCCAGCAGATGCAAGCTATATTTCCAAGACATCTGTGATCAAAAACTAGTAGCTTACGAGTATCTTCTACTCTTAATGGACACGTTTCGTAGCCGTAAAGTAAAACAGAACGAACTGAAACCATGAAGTGGCTTTGCCACACACTACACCATTAGTGCTGATCAGACTTCCAAGATAAGTGGAGTTTTCGATGTGGTCGACTACTCCACTCCCTGTCCTTGGTTCAGGTGTTGGCGCAAGCCATTCTTGAAGCAACAATTTGCATTTAGGGAAGGAGAAACGCATCACAAACTTCTTGGCATTGTTGCTCAATGCTACCAAAACACTGTCTTCGCCAAACAAAAGTATGTCATCTGCGTGTTCTATAAGATCTGAGTTGACTGATAGTGTTCGAGTAAAGAGCCTTCACAAGTTTTATGTACTTCTGAGATACGCCTCTCAACGACAGAAAGACATTGACACAGACACAAAACATCTCGATCTACAGAGTCAAATACTGCTTGCAAGACGAGAAAAACCATCTTTTTTAGACGCTGATAAGCAAACCTGTGTTCTAGGATCTGACGAATGCCGAACATCTGATCGGTTCATTGTTCCATTCAGGCTGACTGGGAATGGAGGGTAGTTGTAGAGTAGCTGAAGGCTAGTTAAACTGTTCTCTAAAGTATTCCATCCATCGTTCTAAACGTCTGGACTGGGTGGGAGCAAATGAGAGTGTCGTCTTTTTCCGAGACAGTCTCACTTACACTTGACTTCTAAATTCCGGTTTCTTTTATTAGTCCTAAAAGCTGTCCTATGTTACCTACAGCCGTTATTTTTTCCATCTCTTTTGCTTTCGTTGCCCGCCACAACTCAAGATCGTTCCGTGGGCTTTTAATTAACCTAGATCTGATTTGTTTTCGCTCTTCATCGTGTTCAGAGCCTTATGGGATGAGTTTACGAGAGTTTGTCAGTGCAATATATGTCACGGAAATCCACTGGTTTATCGTAACCCTTTGGTTCGAATCACCAATAGATATCGCTGTAGTTTTCACGGCTGTCCTTATATCTTTCCGAGCAACAACTGGGTCAGCCTCGTTGTCGGAATTGCCTGGGTGTGACTTCAGTTGTTTCTGGGACTTATCTTCGCTCTTCTCATCGTTGAAATCAATTCTAGTGGATTTACTTAGTGTGGCTTTTCTGTATCCAATGAGGAGCAAACAAGTGAGTACATGTTTTAGAACAGTTAGAATCTAGATATGTATTCCAGAAAAAGCGACAGCCTACTATCGTTACTTTCCAACGTTGACTGATGGCAATAGATATAGGTGTGTGCTAGAATTTGGTCAAGTTTCTTCTACAACTTCATTTTACCTGCTGTATTCGGTTATATCGGCACAAATCTCTGTGTGTTGATCGAGAGATCTTTTGTGCATTTTCCTCTCTTCTTATAAAAGCTACTCAACTCATTTCCTCTGCATAAATTAGTTGAAATAATATATTTCATTAGTATAAGATAAGGATTGTGTAAAACTTATGTATTCATCCGAATTATGAAAGTGAAAACAATTCTTTCTGATTTGCAGGATAATGTTTCATGTTGTTGGATAAATTTAATTAATATCATGATTCGATTCTATTGTTTTTGAAATTCTTATTTTCAATTTGTCTTCTGCTAATCCTTCCTTATTAAATAGTTTGTATTTTAATTACATTTTTTGCTTCTATTTAGTCGTGCATTAATGCTTCATTGTTGGAACTTCAATCCCTTGAAGCGACCAACATTCCTAGGATTGTCTGCTCTGCTTTCACCATGCTTTGGAGATGCGAAGTTTCGAATGGCTAGTTTTTTTTATCATGGTGAACAAAGTTTTGTAAACAAAGATAATCGTTTAAAGATTTTGGAAGCCCCTGCTGTTTCATTAGGTAAATTGAACATATCATGTAATCAAGATCCCGCACATGCACTTGCGTCTGCTTTAAGTACATTATTCAGTGGTACTGATGAAGATTCTAGTTATGAATACAGTGATCGAAATGTTGACCCTCGTGATAATTTTTCTGCAGATTCAATGCAGTTCGGCGCCATTAGTCGAACAGTGACAGTCAAGACAAATCCTATCGGTAGTGGTCATTTTAATAATACTCCTTTGGTGAATTGCAGTCCTGAAGATATATCTTTGAAACAAAGTGATAACGGCATTGCTCTGTCAGAGGTTCAGTGTTTGTTAAGATTGTGTGAACATGACCCAAGTCTTGCTGTCCCACCTTTTGTAGATTCTGAATCATTTCCTTTGATATCCAATCATATAAAAAAGTTTTCTACTGATGAATGTAAAAACTTCGAACTAAGTAAATTTAGAAACCTTATCACATAAACCAAACATATTTAATACAAATTGTCATTCCTTGTGATAGCTTTTATAATTTCATATTTTTACATTATTTTGCAAATTGTTTTCACTTGCTTTCTGATAATAAATAAATAGTTATTGCGAAGAAAAATTATTCGTTAGTCACCTGCCATGTGACTCACGAAAGCCAGTACAGGGTATTGCTTGGCTGAATTTTTAAATTTAAGCGTATTCGTTGGTGTCGTCATGCAGAATAAAATAGTTTTTGTTATCAATTTAGTTGTATCTGACTATTCTTAATTTGCAAGGTTATTGCGTCGGTGTGTAGAATCTAATAAATACATATTAACGTTCAGGTAAAAGATGAACCTTTAGTAGAAAGTCTTTTAGCTGTAGCGAGTACTTCAATATTTTTTATCATATGAAGATGGAAATTCTCAAAGTTTAAAAACGATTTTTAGGAAAATTTCTAGTAAATTGCAATTTTCGGTTGAGGATCGTCTTCAGAAGTCTAAATTTCCAACTATTGAACTACGATCTGATATGAACGGTTATATTGTAAATATGTGATCGTCATTCTTCAACCTTGTATCATATCACGCTTTGTATTTTATTACCTACATTCGATCCTTTTTTGATTAGAACTTTAAAACTACAAATTAGTTTGGACTAAACGTGACTATAATTTATTTTTAAATGTGTGACTATATTTAACAAATAATTTCTGGAATACGGTACGAACTTTAAGATCAAAGTAAGTAGATACATATGAAGATCCATTAACTGATAAAGCAAACGATTTGAATATATTGTGAAATATTCTCAGATATGAGTATCGGGACCAGAGTAGCTTAAACACCAGACAAACAGTGATTAAACAGTTTAATACTTCCCCATTCCAGTCAGTCATACTCAACTTGAAACCCTGGGACGTGTTTACACCGCTTCAAGATTCCTCATCCTGTTAGGGCAGAGGGGTATAACTGTCAAGACAAACACCATAGGAACAAAGGTTTTGACAGCATTAGTGATAATCAAAATGATTGAGCATGTATGTGATTGGAGAAAACATGGGTTTAAGAAATAAAGACAATTTACGGGGTATAACCATTTTTAAGCATAGATAAATAATGGCCAGCAGTGGGATCTAGAATGCCCATTTCGCGCCATTTGATACTTGTCGGCTTGATGTTCTTGTAAGACAGAGTTGTTGTTCTCTTTGGGACTTGAACTGTCCATCTCTGCTGAAAATGATTTTATCTTAATGACAAGATCGAGGCAATCCACATAGGATGCATTTACGTCTACAGAAGCATATCAATCGCAAAATCCGAATAACCTGAGCATACGACTTTATAAGGTGATTTAGAAATCTGGAATCTATGGTAAAACGAAGAGTGAATGCACACTGTGCTTTGACGAACGATTTTGAGTTACGTCACCCAAAGTCTAACCATCGGTAACGACAATCATGTGGAGTGCAATCAGGTTGTTTGTACCTATCAACATGGTTTAGTTCTATTGTGAATGACTTCGTGGACTGATGCAATGTATTAGTTTGACCGCCTCCAGGTTTTTTAAACGTTTTTCTACATCACTTGACATTGTGAGTCTAGGTAGTCAGTGGATGGGTGTACTTAACACATTCAAAACATTTCATTTGACAATAATTCATCACATCACCAGTCAACTTGTTATAGTAACGTAGAACTCTTCGTCTGATCACAAAATCGCAAACCGGATAGTCCCAAAAGGTGGTTAGAAAACACTTGTAACTAAATACAGGTGACTTGAGAATATCTTGCATTTATAAGGGCCAAATTTCTCATGCGAAAAGTAGAAGACAGTGTACTGATATACAATATACACTCCTTTTAGTTGACAAGCTTTTGTCTAGCCTACTCTACAAGTAATGCAAGTTGATGAAGGCTGACTGAACTTTGTGGATTCATTTCGAGATTTCACTGTATTATCAAACCACAACGACAGGTGGGACCCCCATAATAAAAGAAGTTATTGAAATGCTCAATCACGTCGTTCCCTATAATTATTTTAGGAGTCGACAAAGAACAGCCCTGGGGTAAGATTTTAGGTTGGGAGAGAGAGAATCCCATCGTGAAGATCTTATTATTACTGATTGAAACCATGCTGATTTTCCAATGTTTAATTTTTACTAGTCCCAGTTAAGCGTTGAATTACTATTGGGAATAGTAGTAAAGAATCTGTGTTGATCGAACTGATTCCTTTGCGGTCATCAAAAGAGTATTCTAGTTTCTTCTTGTAAAACGGAATGACTGACGAACATAACCAGTTAGAAGTGTTCATCAGACTCTAGTTAAGACTTCAACTCATCTTATTGGTTCAAATGAACCACAACTCTCAAAACACATACTAATGTATCAGAATCTGTTACTCTGTCCCTTTGGAATAGCCGAAATTGTCTCACCACTAAAATTTGAGCAGCTTATAACGACACCCTATTCAAGTTGCTTGACAAAATCGACGACTCAAGGTTAGCTGAAGATCAGTAAAGGTGTTCGTCAAAACATTATGTCAAGCGTTCCATCCTCATGGAATGTATCCTTATTCTATCTTTTTCTAGAATAGTACAAGTACTCACCCAGTTTTTAGACATCTGTTTTTTAACAAGTCTGTAAAGTTGTCTACTTTACACCTTATTCATTGTCTTTGTTTTTGCTGTCCACCACCATGATCGTTACGTAGACAGTTTTTTTTGGCTCACGATCCACTTCTCATTGGCTCTCATCGTACTAAAATCATAAACGATGAGTTTCTGATCATATACTGATTCCGTTAGTGCTACCGAATTCATTGATTTTTCTATATGTTTTGGTTGGGGTAATTCTAGAGAGAGTTCCCGCCATAGTTTTGTGTTCCAAGAAAGACACATGGATATACATTTTTATAATAGAGCATTAGCAAAGTTCAGTGATGTGTCTTAAAACGAGCATCATTTATTTGTAGCGTGGTGTCGGGTCGCGATTGACTATGAACACCACTACAAAGGAACGCGTGACTGGACATCAAATAAAATCCCCCGGAAGCCAAATATAAGAAGGCAGTTAGTGGACCAAGTCGAGATATATTTGCTGGCGATCTCGTGGCATCAAAAGAATACCGAGATCGTACCAGGATACAAGCTTGGTTACTGAGCGTAACCGGACTCGCGCGAGGTCACGATCGAAGTAAGTATAATGGATGTTTTTAGCACAGTTAAACAAAAAGCACATTAAAACAGCCACTGGTACAACTGGTTATAATAATAATTTTTTCATTAAATCCATCGTGTTCTCGTGATAAAGTAAGTCATTACATATTCATCGGTTCTATCTGTCCATGGGAACTGGTTATCTGGTCTGTTCGCATCATTTATTATTTTGACGATTTAATTCGCCTGACTAGGTGATGCCTTTACTTTAAAAAGCCGTCTGCTTGTTTTCTGAGCATATTTACAGGAATCGGTAATTTCTGTTTGCTCATTAAGCTAGAACACTTGGATCCGTTTCGGAATCTTACAGTTTGGTTTTAGATACTTGTAAGATCATTTTGTATGACTGTACATAGAAATACTTAAAAGTTACATTTCGTGTGATGATAACTTGTTGTCTCTAACCAGATGCAAAGTTAGCACCTCTTTTAATGGCCTTAGTTGTAAACCCGTTGCATATTTTGCTATTTTTTCAGTACTCACTGATTATTGACTACTAAACACTACTCAGTTTAATGTACCAAAATATGAATATTAGTAGATGTTACTGTGGTGTTTGAATTGACTAATGATACTTTTGTACATGTTGATTGCACAATTTCGAATTCCAAATACAGTACATTCGTTTGTGCCTGTGTCTTCTTAATTCAATTGCGTTATTTCTGGGACTCTTAGTTCGTGCTATAATTTCAATAAGTCGAAATACAGTACTGGCGTCGTGATGGAACCTGCAATGGAAAAGTTAGACATTCATTCAACTTCGGAAGCATTTGAGGATTATTTCGAAAGGTTCGAAATCTGGGTCATGACCATGGAAGATGATGAGGATATTAATATTGTGGCATATTTCCTCACATTCATCGGTAAAGAAGCATACAGTTTATTAAGAACGCTGGCTATGCCGGAAAAACCCATTTCGCTTCCTTATACAACTCTCAAGGCATTACTACTAGACCATGTCAGGTATGCAAATTTTGATTGCAGTAAAGAAGGGGAATTTCCTAAAATGATTCATCAGGACATTAAAACTTCTACTACATCACGTTATCCTAATCCAGTGCATATTCAAGGTTATGCAAATAATTCATTGCGGAGTTGCAGTGCGTTTCACGAAGATGGGCACAAGTTTGGTCAGTGTTTGTCCTGTGGCAAGTTCCATGCTTTTAATTCATGTAAATTTCGTAATTCTAAATGCTTTAAATGTGATGATATTGGATATATTCAGTCAGTCTGCAATACTAATGTTCATGTTATTGCAACTAATATTAAGTCTTGTAATTCTGATTCTACTGAGTCGAGTATTTATAATGATGATTTATTTTTATCAACTATTGCAATAGACAGTGTAGAGTCAAAAAGCAGTTCAGAGTTAAATGAAATCCAGAATCCTTGTGAGACAACAGTTCCTAATCAACCGATTTATCAGAATTCTCATGCTATTGTACCAGGTATGACTTTTCCTAATGATTCACATATTTCTGATGAAATTTCTTACAAATCTGAAGAAAATATGTTAAATGAACCTATTCATTATCAAAAACCTGAGGCAGTCGTGATAGATGCTATTTTTTCTAATGATCCATTGCTCTGCAATGACATTCTTAGTCAATTTCATGAAAATATTTCAGTAGAATCAAATCCTGATGTCATATGTATTACCTATCCTCATAATGCATTTGCTCCTTGTGAAAAACTTGTTCAATGCAAAGTACGAATACTAAATGAGCTCGGTTTTGATTACAATTCTGATGATTTCATATCAACTGTTGTTCATCCTTATCACAAAAACACTTCTAATGTTTACTCTAATCAATGTGAGAAATATGTTTTAAATGAAGCCACATTATTCATAACTTGGGAATATAAAGACCCAACATTATTTCGTGGGGGGGGATAGCGTTGAAAAATCTATGA